CCACGCTGCCACCTCCGGAGCCCCGAGCGGGCAGCAATGTGGAGAGCAGGTGCTGGGTCTGGAAGAGCTTCCCAGCAGGAAATCAGTCCCAGAGAAGTACTTGCACGCCAAGATTTCCTTCCACTGGAGATGGAGAAACGTCCTTTAAAGCAACCAGGCCATAAAGAAGCCTGAGCATCACCCTCCAGACAGCTCCCGAGGTGCTGGCAGCATCCTCGGCGTGGTAGGACTCCGTTCCTGCTTATTTTCTGTAAGATCTGTCTGATTGCGGTGGCCAACCTCGCATAGAAGCATAGAATGGTTTGGGTTGGAAGGGACCTCAAAGATCATCGAGGTCCAACCCCCCTGCCCTGGGCATGGACACCTCCCACTAGAGCAGGTTGCTCAAGGCCCCATCCAGCCTGGCCTTGAACCCCTCCAGGGATGGGGCAGCCACAACTTCCCTGGGCAACTTGTTCCAGTGTCTCACCACCCTCAGAGTAAAAAATTTCTTCCTGAGATCTAATCTGAATCTTTTTTCTTCCAATTTAAAACCATTTCCCCTTGTCCTATCATTACCCTTCCTGGCAAAGAGTCCCTCCCCAGCTCTTCTATAGGCACCCTTCAGGTATTGAAAGGCCGCTCTAAGGTCTCCCCGGAGCCTCCTCTTCTCCAGGCTGAACAATCCCAGCTCCCTCAGCCTGTCTTCATAGGAGAGGTGCTCCATCCCTCTGAGCATCTTCGTGGCCTCCGCTGGACCTGTTCCAGCTGGTCCATGTCCTTTCTGTGTTGAGGACTCCAAAGCTGGACACAGTATTCCAGGTGGGGTCTCTCCAGGTGGGGTGGCATCTGTGCCACCCTGGCACTGCAGCCTGGCACTGTCTCTTCTGCTGCACCAGGACGTGTTTCTCGAGCAGGGCTCAGGCTGCAGCCACAGGGCCCAGCACCAAGAAGAGACCGGGATGGAACAGAATGGCAAAACTGCAAGGAAAATGCCCCAAACATCCCCTGGGCTTGGCCAGGCACATCAAGAAGCAAACACCGACCATTTTCCAGAAGCAACTGTCATTTGGGCAGGGTGAAGAGGCCTTTAATATGGCTTATTTAGCAGCAAGGAGTACCTGGGCTACAAACAAACTTCCTCTTCCTACAGAGGCATCGTTCATGAGAACTGAGGAGCTCGACGCAGGAGCAATCGTCTCTCAGACGATCCAGCATCTGTCTGAAGGCATTAGCAAAATGAGTAGCTAAGACTTCAAGCAGATGCAGCCTATTTAATTACAGTCTTTGACTCCAACTGAGCTAAAAGAAACATTTAGCTCTAGAAAAAAAAAAAAAAAAAAAAAAAAAAAAGAGACACCAAAAGCATCCCTGACATTGCTTGGAGATGATATCACACGTACAACACCTACTTCCACCGGCAGGAGTCACAGCTCGGGCAGCACTAAGGCACTGCTTTGGCGCAGGAGAGAAAGGCAAGGCCAGGAAAAATTGGGATATGGGATCCAAAGAGCACCCGAATGGTATTTGCAAGCTTCAAAGATAAGGGGAATAATAATAATAAAAAAAAAATTCCCCCAAACAAGCCTGCAGCACGTTTTGTTTAGACCTCCTTTGCAGCCAGCCAAGATCACAGTGCACATCCCTGAGAGGACCTTGGCTGTCCCTGCGAGATCACGGAGCCGCTGGGAGACTGTCCCCAGCACAAACCACCCCCCAGCCCCTCTGCTGCTCCCAAGGACACAGCAGGAGCAGTTTGGTCCCGTGTGGGTTATGGAGGCAACCTGCCTGCCCAGGAAGGGGCATCAGGGCCTTCCCAAAAGCTCATTTTTTCCCTTTGCTCTCACGGCTCCAGCCCCAACGCTGATTTCTGCCCAGGGCAATCCAGAAATTGCCATCGCTCCTCCTCCCTCACCAGGAGGTGCCTTACTTTAAAACCAGGCTCCGGGCAGGGGAAGCCCAGGCGGCCGCTTCCCCGGCTCATGGTTCCTTTTACAGTCAGCTCAGAGAAGGTATGAAAAAAGGAAAGCCCATCACCTCCCCTGAAACACCTGGAAAATGCAGCTGAACCAGAGGCTTTCCAGCTGCACACAGTGTCCCAGCCAGGTCCTGCAGAGGCAGAACGGCCAAAACCCTCTTCCAGGAGTCTCACGACGGCTCTGTTGGCGCCTGCCCCAGCGACACCCAGTGTCACCCTCCCTCCACCGGCACCGTGTGGGGCTCTAACAGCAGCTGGTGGATAAATCAAAGAATAAAAAGCCAGCCAGCACGTCAGCGAGCTCCTACCTGCACTCCTGCCCTCGGCAGATCGCTCAGCCCCTCTCCCCAACGTGTAGGAACGCTCGCAGGCACCGAGGCGGAGAGCTTCCTTTTTTAAAATAAAGGAGGGGAGGAAAAAGAGAAAAGACAAGTCCTGTTTCAGGCGCGGCTGCAATCCCACAGGCTGGGGAGGGGTCAGAGAGGCGGCCACTTCCCTCCCAGTGACCCCAGCGCCGGGGCGGCTCACATCCTGCTGCCTGGCCACTAAGAAAGCCCTTCAGCAAAGCCCAGCGAGAGACAACATTTCTCCAAATCATTGATTTCTCTCGTTTCCTTTTAGGGAAGCCGGGCTGCTGCCCTGCGAGACGATACCAGTGTGGTTACTGCTGCTCAGCGCTCGCACCGAGTCCGGCCCAAAGCTCCTTCCATGGCTGCTTCTAATTGCAGCCCGTCGGTGACGAGCCCCTGAGAGTCACCCTGTCCAGCCCCTGAGAGTCACCCAGTCCCGGGGCAGCTCCCCGGAAGGGAGAGGGGAGTGAGGAACCCTCCACCTCGCCCCGGGGCCATTTCCAGTGTCCTCACTCACCACTAACGCCGTCCGACGCAGGACACAAACCCACCCGCGCCTGTTTGATAAAGCAGCCCCAGCAGCTCAGATGCTCCGAGTGCTTCGAGTCAAAAAAAAATCAATTTACAGAGTACGCCCAAGAAGCAAAGCGGCTTCAAAACAGACAACTTCAACAAAACAGCAAAGCCGGACGCACACGCACATTTTTTCCATGACTCCCCCCCTCCTCCTCCTCTCACAAATACCTTCCCACAGCCATCCTGCGCTAGCGCAGTTTCTCGGTACGAGATGATGCTTTCTACCATCAAAGGAGAGATTTTAATACGGAGAGCGAGGATGAGAGCAATTAGGAGGAGCAGGGCCGGACTGGCGCTAATGGCAGCCAGTTTCTGCACCTCTGGAGCCAGTCTGGCAACCAAGAAGGCAGCTCGCCTCGCCCGGATGAGGTTTTCGGCTGCTCTTTTGAACTGTTTGATGATAGGAGAAGAGAAGGGCTGTCCCCGGGCTTACCTGGGCTGGGGCAGGGCCCGGCGAGGAGCGTGCAGAGGAGGAAGAGGAGGAGGAAGAGGGCAGGCACGCCTGGCCATTCATAACCCCAGCCAGACGGCCCTTCCACGTCAGCCGGCTTCCCGTCTGGCACCAGATCCAGCCTCCCAGCTCCGGCAGCTGCCAAGGCTTTCCCAAAAGCTATTCATCCCCCTCTACGACCTCCGTCGCGATGGTTGTGTCTTTTTCCCCTGCAACCACTCCACCAGGAGAGCCCAGCAGCCGCACGGCGTCACCCTCAGCATCCACTTCTCTCCTTTTCCCTCCTGGGAAGCCGGAGGAGAGGGAGCAGAAGCTGCACCCACAGCCCCAGGCTGGGCGAGACACGAGCAGCCGGTTCGTTCTGCTGCTGGGCAGAACAATATCCACATTTTTCTTCCAGGAACTGCTTCAGTAGCAGCCTTTGCCCCAAACTTAACAAGAGCCGTTCAGAAACGTTAACATTTCAAATGTTGAATTCCCAAGGTTTAGGCAGACAAAGAGCCCTTTCTATTTCATCACAAAGTCAGTTTGAAGAAAGTCCTGCTGGTCACCAGCCACCCCCTCGCCCCCTGCATCTTAATTCTGCTGCACAACTGGGAAATTCCCAAGTCAGAAGTGACACCCACACAGCAGCTCCTGGCACTTCCCAGGAAAAGGCCTGCAGAGGAGCAGGACAGTCTCTAAGTGCCTCTAAGCCATGCAAACACAGAGTCTGCTTCGTCACATACACAAGAAGAGGAAACAGCATAATAAAAGATCCAAAAATAGTTATACTGGGCTTTAATTGGTATCTTCATTTTCCTCTGAAAGGCTATGCATTCAGACCAATTTTCAAGTCAAATTAGTTTCTAGAATAAAGGGAAAAAGGCCTGTTAAATTAAGTCCTGGCTGGGTTAGGAGAAGACCCAGGCAGGGCAAGAGGAGCAGCTCTGGCAGAGCCAGGTGGAAATGCTGAAAAGCCCAGGTCACCCAGCAGCGAGGGGCATTTTTCAAGCCTCAGGAGCAGGAGGGAGGAGCAGGCGGTACCCAGACCACGCCGTGATGACAGGAGGGAAGTTCTGGGTCCTGGGTTCCTTCCCCAAGTGGCTACTGCTGGGGGCAGGTCCAGGAGTGAGCACGGAGGGGGCTGGATAACACTTTCTGGCAGGGGAGAGGGGAGGCTGAGTCACCTCCAAACTTTGCACGTAAGAAGACTGAAATTTCCAGCGTGGGTTGTGTGTCCCCCCCCCTCCTCCAGCCTTCCAGGCACCCTCCCCACAGCCACAGAGGGTGGAAAAGCCACACAAGAAAGTAACTTTTCTAAAAGGTCCCCCTTCCTACTTTCCCTTCCCCAAAAGGGGAACGTCAGGCAGCAGATGCTGCAATTTTAAGATCTTCCCTTTGAAAGCCCAGAAACGACTGCAGCCAAGCAGGAAGGGCCAGCGCAGCCCTGAGCGTGATTTTGGGGCAATTTTTGTGCCTCTTGATGTGCTCCCTGCCATCTATTCCCATGTCAGGACTGCAGCCAAGCAGGAAGGGCCAGCGCAGGATTGAGCGTTAGTGATTTTGGGCCAATGTTTTGTGCCTCTTGACGTGCCCCCTGCCATTTAGTGCCATGGCAGAACCATTTGGGAAGGTCCCCCCCAGAGCACGCTCCCCGCGTGTGGAGGCAGAGCTAATCTGCTGCGGGCTCTGCGGGCGCTGCGTTAAGCTGACAAGCTGGGTCACGACTCCGGGCGGCAGGTTAACTGCAGAGGCAAATATTTGGAGGATAAAGCACAGCCCGTGGGCGGCTGACGGCACACGCGGAGCGGCTCCTCTCTCCTCCAGGTCTCGGGGGTGGTATTTCACAGTCTCTCCTTCAGGGAGACCCTTTGCTGTCCTCCAGCCCGGCTTTGTCCCCACTGGAGGACTCCTAAGGGGCCATGTGATATTTATCGAGTCCAAGCTGTGAGCTGCACATCTCCTCCTGCTTTTGGAGGCTCCACGTTACTGTCCTCACCAGGCAGGGATACTTTGGATGCAAGAGCAGTCTCATCTACTCCAACTTTGGGATCTGCCCCCGCTCAAGGAAAAGGTAACACCGATTTGGAGCACAAATTTTGCCTTGGGCTGATAAAGTGACTGCAGAAAGAGGCAGGATTTCACCAGCGTGGCTACAGGAGATGCCAGGGCTACGAGCTCCTTCACCCAGGGACCAAGCCGGGCACAGGACCAGCCTTTCCCACAGCAGGGCTGCCTCACTGACAAATGCCTCTTCTCCCAATGTCAGTATTTCTGCTTTCAGAAGAAAAGCAGTTATTGTTTCTCGCCAAAAGCAGATGCCCACGAGGGTTGCTCTTGCTCTCCACGAGGAGATAAGGCAGGAACCCAACACGTTAGCATGGCTCCGGGCAAGGAATAAGCCCACTGATGTGGGGCTAGAGATCACCTCAAGACTAACCACATCATAAGACGCAGCAAGATGAAAAAGAAGAAGAAAGAAAGGAGGCCCAGACAGCAGCCCCGGGAGAAGCCTGCAGTTAAGAGGAAGAAAAAAAAATTACAGTGGCTTTCAATAGGGCCATGGGTCTGACTCGGCTCTATTTTATAGAATCATAGAATTGCCCAGGCCATCTAGTCCGACCTCCCCACAGTCAGCAGGGACACCCCCAACTAGACCAGGTTGCCCCATCAAGCCTCCCCTTGAATATCTCCAGGGAAGGGGCCTCAACCACCTCCCTGGGCAACCTGTTCCAGTGCTCCACCACCCTCCCAGTGAAGAACCCTCTCCTCATCTCCAATCTAAATCTGTTCCCCTCCAGCTTGAAGCCATTGCCCCTCGTCCTGTCACTGCAGGCCTTTCTAAACAGGCTCCCCCATTTTGGATGGTTCCAGCTCATGTTCTGTTCCATGGGCTCCCTGGGAGCCAGCGCAGCAACACGGAGCCATGGTCACCATCCACCCAAACCCATGTGGTGCCCAGGACACAGGGCACCGTGGTCCCCGAGCAGGAGAGGGCCAGCACCGAGCGTGGGCACAGCAGGACACCCCGTGGCACAGCCCTGCCCTGGCAGCACCTTTGCCTCCTCTCAAATCAGCTCAACACCCAGGGACTTCACCAGGAGTTTTCTGGAAGAGGCCAAAACCGCCTGAAGGGGGATGGATTTTTTCACGCTGGCTTTGCACACTCCCAAAAGTGGGGGTTTTTTTCTGTCTTCGCTGCCTCTCTTCCTCCCCTCAGCTCTACAGAACAACTGGTGCATCTCATCAGGAGCAGAACAGCACTTCTAGGACAACACCAGCTCCAGAGGGAAGCAAGCAGCGGATCAAAGCAGGAGTCACAGCTAACTCTGCCTCTCAGGGGCGGCATCTGGGAAAGGGAGGATCAAGATGCAGCCTAAGGTGCTCTCTTTATTGAAAGCATTAGCTGGATATTACGTATATCTAAAGATAAGCTCCTAAACCTCCAGCAAAGCTGGTTATGGATCCACTTACAGCAGCATTTATGGCTCAAGTATCACAAAAATACTTTCCTGCCTTATAAATTAGAACTCAGAAGTTGAGGGCAATTCTTTCCCCGGATCTGGCCGCTGCGCACGGGCCTGGTTTGGTTTTGCAATCTCTCTTCTCTGACCCCACGCGCTTTCACTGCTGACAAGGGAAACCATTTCCTTTGTGCACCGTGGCCATCGAGATCCCACTTACAGAGGAGCAGGAGTCACAGAACACGGCACACGCAGCTACAGTTCAACCTCCACCAAGAGGATGAAATTGCACCGTTTCAGGTGGGGCAGCACTTCACATCCCAGCAATCAACGAGCAAAACGTTGGCAAGGAAGCATCTGGCCAACAGCTCCTGTGCTACAGGACAGCTGAAGACCCGGAGGAGGACTTTGCTGAAGATGCTGAGCAAAGCAAAATGCCCACCATCACTCCCTAAGCCTCAGCCAAGCCCACAGCAGAGCCTGTTTCCATTTTTCATGATGGCACCATTGACTGTGCAACCCCAAGTGACCAATAAAAGCAGCCCAGACCCCGAAAGGCGAGGCAGGCAGAGGGAATCCACTCCCTGCACAGCACCTGGACTCTGCTCCGCAGCAGAAACCGAGCGCACCAGGTTTTCCTACCACACCGCCAAGCTGGCACAAACTCCGGGCACTCCTCTCCTGCCTTTCTGGGGATTTTGAAAGGTTCCAAGCTCGCCCTCCACTTCACAAGTACGTGACTGAGACAGAAAGTGAATGTAAGATAGGGAATACACAGTCCAAGAAACAGCACTAGATAAACACAGAGCTGGACGCGAGCCGAAAGCATGGAAAGGAAGCAGAGTGCAAGGACAAAGCCCTGGGGACTGTGATAAACAGGTGGCTGGGGAAATTTCACTTCTCCCAGCAAAAAATCCCCTCCTGCCCTGCAACTTGGCAGACAACTTCCAGGCCGGAAAGGGGCTTTAAACAAAGAAGGGATGGAAACTGAGAGAGCGCGGCCGCTCTTCAGCTCCAAGCACTAGGAGAAGGGGATCTTGCCTTTCACTAGAGTCCAGGACTGAGAGGATTTTTCCAAACATCTGTGCCACATCCTGGACAACTTCAAATCCCTCTTTCCCCTCTCCCCAGAGGACTTCCTGCCCTTTCCTTTCTGTCTGTCCTTCTCACACGCAGGAAGGGTTTTCTTTGAAGGCGCTGAGATTATCGTACCGCAGGTCGCAGCAGAGGCAGCTACTGTAAGATCAACGTTCCTGTGCTCACAGGGACAGACAGAAGCAGAGCAAGAGTTTGCTTTCAAGCATCACAAGTTCTCCCTCCTGACAGCTGAGTCGCAGCTCCCCACCATCAGAAAAAAGAAATAAAAAAATACGGAAAATACTCCATTTTCCCCAAGCACTTAAAGAGAATGAGGAGTTTGGGCTTCAGGGCTGCACCTTGACCTACAACAGAGACATTTATTAGCGGGGGTAGAGAGGGAAGAGAGGAACAGAGACCTCAACTTCAAAACCCTTACTCTCTGCGATGGGTTTTTTCCATCATTCTGAGATTTTTTTTTTCCATTTTCTGCAAAGACTGCAGCAGCCGAGCCCCTTCCGAGGGGGGAGTGAGGCCACGGGCCAGGTCTCTCCCCTCAGGAAAGTCGCTGCCACCAGCCCCTGGAGCCGCTCCTGCTCCAGGAGGTGCCTCCACGGGCTGGGCCCGGCTCGGCTGGGCCCCGGGCCTCCCCCCGGCTACAGGAGGGGGCTCCAGCCCAGCAAAGCCCAGAGGAACTCGCTCGCAGCTGCTTCCTCCCGGGGGAAAAACGGAATTAAAGAAGAAATCACCCGAGAGAGGGGATTTAGGAGCATCGCTCCAACAGGTTGCCGGCTCCGGCCGGGCCGCCCCGGCGTGACCCCACGCCCCGAGGAGGCCCCGGCCCCGGGCACCGCCCCCGGGGGGACTGGCGGGGCCGGGGGGTGTCCCCCCTGGGGGGCTAGGTGGCAGCTCCGCCGTGGCGGCGCGGAAGCGGCTCGCCCTCGTGTGGCCTCAGCACTCCGCCCCCCGGCGCAACTCGGCGCTGGCCCGCGCGGCCCCTCTCCGCGCGCCGCCGCCAGCAGCCGGCACTACTTCCTCTTAAAGGGGCCGCCCGCCCGCCCGCGCCTCGCCGGCGGCCGCTCCTCCCGCGGGCGGGGCCGGGCTGCGGTTTGTGTTCGGTTCCATTGAATTTTACTTCATTCTACTTTATTGTTTTGTCGCACCCTTTTATTTGGTTATGTTTATTTTACTTGATTTTAGCATATTATTTTCTTTTACTCTTTATTTTATTCTACTTTATTATTTTCTTTCATTCTATTTTATTCTACTTCATTCTGTTCTTTGATTTTTATTCTATTCTACTTTATTTTGTTATTCTCTTTTATTTTTATTTTCCTTCATTCTGTTTATTTTCTTCTACTTTATTCCATTATTTTCTTTTCTTCTATTTATTTTATTCTACTTTATTCTGTTATTTTATTTTTATTTTCTTTTTTCTGTTTATTTTATCCTACTTTATTCTTTTACTTTCTTGTATTTTCTTTTATTCTATTTATTTATTTCCGCTTTATTTTATTTATTCTATTTGTTCTTTCCTTCCTCTCCCTCTCCTCTTCCCTTCGTTCCCATTTCTCCTTTTCCTCTCCTTCCTTCCCTTTTTTCCTTCCCTTCCCTTCGTTTTGTTTTAATTTATTTTTGTTTATTCTACTTTATTGATTTTATTTATTATTTTTATTTTCCTGGAGCTGGGGAGAAGCCCACGGCCCTGCCCCACCCAGGGAGCCCCCCTGTTGGAGCTGAATTATCCATTAAGAGCAGAGGAGCCCGGGGAGAAGGGACCTTCGTGTCCCGTCCCGGCAGCAGGACCTGGGCAGTGACCGAACCCCTCTCCTTGGCTTTTCGAGGCCCCACCTCAAGGGCTGTGTCCAGTTTTGGGTCCCTTCCCACAAAAATGACATTGAGGGGATGGAGCGGGACCAGAGAAGGGACACGGAGCTGGTGAGGGGTCTGGAGACCAGGGAGAAGGTTCTGGAGAACTTCTGAGGGAGCTGGGGGTGTTCAGCCTGGAGAAAAGGAGGCTGAGGGGAGACCTTCTCGCTCTCTCCAACTCCCTGAAAGGAGGGTGTAGCCGGGGGGGGGCGGGGTTGGTCTCTTCTCCCAAGGAACAGGCCATGGGATGAGAGAAAACGGCCCCAAGTTGCACCAGGGGAGGTTTAAGATGGATATTGGGAACAATTTCTTCACCAAAAAGGTTGTGAAGCCTTGGAATGGGCTGCCCAGGGCTGTGGTGGAGTCACCATAGAATCATAGAATGGTTTGGGTTGGAAGGGACCTCAAAGATCATGGAGTTCCAACCCCCCTGCCCTGGGCAGGGACACCTCCCACTAGAGCAGGTTGCTCAAGGCCCCATCCAGCCTGGCCTTAAAGCCGGGCAGACGTGGTGCTGAGGGCCATGGGTCAGTGGGGGTTTGGGCAGGGTTGGGTCGATGGTTGGACTTGATGCTCTGAAAGGTCCCTTCCAACCAGAACGATTCCAGGTTCTGCTCCACCCCAGCCCTGACACCAAACACCATGGACCTGAGGGTGACATGCTGGGTTCCCTGCAGGGCTGGGCCACCTCCAGGACTATCAGTCCACAACCCACTGATAAGGACCGATGGTCTCTCTCCAGTTGCTCAACACGTGTTTAAATGACGTCAGCACAGAGGGAGGGCGACAGCCAGACTCTGCTCCAAGCCCGGTCGCTGCAGAGTCCTGCCTTGCCCAATTCAGGTCCTGCAGGTCATTAAGCACTCCGTGTTCCTGCGTTTGGGGCTGGTTTTTTCTTTCATGTTTGCAAAAAGATGGGTGTTGGGTGGTGTTTTCAACCAATTTCATCTGATTGGGGCAGTCTCAAGGGAACTGGAATACGGGGCCACCATGGCGTGGGGAACACAAGTGACCTAGTGCTCCCTCAGCAGCAGAAGGCTTTCTGCCACAGCAGGCCCGAGGGGCTCCTCTCACCCCAGGGTCCCCTCGGGGCAGAGCTGGCTACACACACACAGATATTTTCTGATTTTCATCGGTGCTGGTCTTACTGGCAGCCACTGGAAGTATCATCAAGACCAGAGCTCAGAGTTCCACAAGTTCTTTAGATTTTAGCTGCAATTGTGACCCAAAACCAAAAATAATTCCATAGAATCCTAGAATCACAGACTGGTTTGGGTGGGAAGGGACCTTAAACCACCCCCCTGCCGCCCTGGGCAGGGACACCTCCCACCACACCAGGTTGCTCCAAGCCCCCTCCAACCTGCCCTTGAACCCCTCCAGGGATGGGGCAGCCACAGCTTCTCTGGCCAACCTGGGCCAGGCTCTCCCCACCCTCACACCAAACAAGTTCTTCCCCACAGCTCAGCTCCATCTCCCCTCTTGCAGGGTCCAACCCTTCCCCCTCCTCCTAGGGCTGCCCTCCCTCATCCAGAGTCCCTCCCCAGCTTTCCTGGAGCCCCCCTTCTTGAGGGACTGGAAGGGGCTCCAAGGTCTCCCCGCAGCCTTCTCTTCTCCAGGCTGAACCCCCCCAACTCTCTCAGCTCCCCCTCCCAGCAGAGGGGCTCCAGCCCTCCCAGCATCTCCGGGGCCTCCTCTGGCCCCCCTCCAACAGCTCCATGTCCTCCCTCTGAGGTGCTCCAGCAGCTTTAACTGAGATTGTCTGAATTATTATTTTTTTTCCTATAATTTGCATTAGCGACACCTGTTGCTGCCTCCAAAGGAGCTCTACAACCTGCCCCGTCTGACCCATCAGTTATTCACGTTGGGCAGGAATCAAAGCTTCTGTGCCTGTAAAAATCAGGTCAGTTTAAAAACACGAGAGATGAAGAACAGATCCCACCAGACTCTCCTGCCCTCGAGCTGTCACCACTGACAGAGCGGGTACCCGACAGGGATACTGGGGACACAGGACAGGCAGGATGCCCCCTTGGTGGTGCCCACCACAAAAAAACCTACCACAGGGCAGTGTTAGAAACGATTTCTGACCTCCTCCAGAGGTTTTTTGGATGAGATTCCTCTGACCTGCCCCAAGGCAGCAGCATTCAGAGCCGGGGACACCCACGTCACAGTTCTGGGTCCACACAAACCGGGTGGGTCTTCTAAAAGGACTATCTAGAAAGCCAAAAAATTCACTTTGTTTTGAAAGTTTATTGGATCATCTTGACACAAAATCATTACAGCAGCTTGTGGTATGTTGTTTTCTTTTTCTTTTTTTTTTTTTTTTTCTTTTTTCTCCAAGGGAATGTTGATAGCAAATAAATTTGTGAATGTAACACATCATACAGGTTCAAAATTCTAGAATCACTGCACAGGATTCCGTAAGAGAAGACTCTACATGCTAAAGTGACAGTTTTCATCCATGAATTTAAAAAAAAAAAAAACAAAAACAAAACAACAAAACAAACCACTAATTGAGGAACGTTATCCTTTTAAGACAATTGTAATATGTTCAGTTTCTAATACACAAACTGCCTGACCAGGGGAGGTTGACCGGTACCAGACCCCACCGCTTCCCCGGCAGCGAGACCTGCTGCAGGACACCATCAGGAGACAAAGCTGGTCCTGGCCAAGGACCCACGGGAGAGCCCTGGGGAAAATCCCCCACTTTGGGAAGGGTGTGAAGGGCACGAGACACGCTGAGAGCACAGGACATTCACCCAAAAGACCAACCAACGTTTTATCCCCTTCCCTGCAGAGGGTTTCAGTTCAGCTCCGCCGGGCGCCGGTGACGCTCGGGGTGGTGGTGGTGCTGGAGATGTGTACAACCACCCGACCCCTCCCCGGGGACACTTTTGGGAAGAGCCACTGACAGCTCCTGCCCTGAGCCCCACAGCAAAACCGTTTAAGCATGTGCTCAGATTGCTGGGTATGGAACAGCAAGTAAGAGACGTGGGGAAAAGAAATTAAAGAAAAAAAAAAAATCAAAAGCAAGATATTTTGAAGAAGGGCATCAACGAAGCATCTCCAAAGGACCCAGCGACATCCCCTTTTCCAGTCAGTGATTCCAAAAGGTTTCAATAGCGCAGGAAGGGCTTCACTTTGTAAACCCTCCCCTTCTCCCCTCTAAGGTCACCCCCTCCAGGGGCTGCAGCCTCCCCCCACCCTCCCTCCTGCCCCCAGGGACGGTTCTGCTGCCGGGGGACATCACGGGGACAACCAGCACAGAGGGAGGGGACGGGGCTGCACCCAAACTGTTCCCAGTCCAAGAGGGTACAGCGTGGGCATCTCTAACCTGGTCGCGGTCAACCTCAGCCGGTGAGGAAAATGATTAACAGACAAAGCAGGAACAGACCCCTTTGGATTTCCAGTTTTCGTGCTACACCCCAGCTCGTTGGGAATGTGAAATCAAAGTGGACTCGTAAAAGACACGGGCAGAGAGTGCTCGAGGGGGAGAGGCAGGAGAGGCCCCGCTGGCGGGGGCGGTCAAGGGGAGCAGAGAACCAAGCAGGAACACCTCCAGGCACTCGCTCTTCCAGCCCACACCAAACAGGAGGTTAAGGCTCAAGGCAACTACTATCAACAGAAACTCAAAACATCCCAGCTCTCTCAGGGCTCGTTTGGATTAGCTCAAGGAGATGGAGGATGCTTATACGCTGATCACAATAGATCTTGAGATAATAATAATAATAATAAATCATATTTAAAAAAAAAACCAAAATAACAACCAAAAAAAAAAAAAAAAAAGAGGCCTTCAGGTCCAGCACCAGCCTCTGCTAGAAATATACAACTACAGCAGCCCTGAAGATTTATTCCATGGCTAAGGATCAAGTCAACCTTCCCTGGCAAAAAGCACAAGCAACAGACTCTGTGCTACTGTTGATAAAACTTCTGCTTCGTCCACCGTCCCCCGCAGATGGCAAGGGATCACCGTGAGCTGCTGAATAAAGTGTCCCTCTCTCCCTTCCTCCCTCCTCCAGTCACGTCACCAGGATCTCTTTGGGCTAGAAAGGGTTAACACCACAGTTTGTAAAAAGTTGGGAAATAAAAAGGTAACATACAGCCTTAAAATGTCTAAACTGCAAACAATGGTGGAGTTAACTGAAAAAGCACGTGCCCCAGGATAGTACATGCGTACGAGGGAGAAACTTAACACTTGGGTCTGCTCGTCTTTACACGTTAGGTGTGTTTCTGGGAGTTGGAATATTTTATACGGAGTATTCAGCACTTGGACAATGTCTCTTTCATCTCATCCAACAAGTTGCTAAGCAGGGTGGAATCATTGCATTTCCCATCTACGGATACAGAGTTCTCTCCCTGGGAAAGAAAAAAAAAAACAGAAATCCATTAGTTCCTGTTTTTAGTGGGGACAATTTTACTCCCAGCCAAGCTCGGGACTGGGAACAGGCAGTGGAATAATGTGGGATGAGCCCAGAGGTGGGTTTGGGGAAGCCACCAGTGCTGCCACCACCCACCAGGTACACACTGGGTGACAGAGAGTCTCTGGGGAGGTACGAGCTTGAGAGAGCTGCTGGATGGGCCAGATGAATTAATCCCCCCTGGTACCCAGGATGATTTAGACAGGAATATTTCCCCCTTTCTGGAAAGGTGGCGGATTTAGGCTCTGTCAGGTCTTGTTATGATGCTCTCACCTTTTTTACCAGTAGGCAGACGTGATGGCCTTGGATAGAACGGCTGTACATGGATGCACACGAATCAACACGTTCCACAACTGTAAAGAAAGCAGGAGTTTTCTCAGTGGGACAACTTTTTACCATAAGATTTGCTTCCCGTGGACAGGCCCTGCTGCTTTGTCTGGCCTCAGGGAACAGAAGCTTCTACTGAGCAAGGGGAGGAGGACATCAGGGTTAAGATGATGTACGTGCCTGGCTCCTATCTGGCTATTTTGCAATAATGAGGTTAGTCATCCGTCTTTTGAGCAAGTTTGCAAATGTTTTGTGGCAAAAATGCTGATCAGAGCCTAGATCTCTTCCCCAGAAATCCTTCCAGTGAGGCAACGTCTAACGCGTACACCAGAGCATGATGAAACAGCCATTTGTTTTGCTTCATCCAGTACTTGTTGCTTTAATTAATAAGCCCAAACTTCATAGAATCATAGAATTTCCAGGCCAGAAGGGACCTCCAAAGGCCATCTAGTCCCACCCCCCTGCAGTCAGCAGGGACACCCCCAACTAGACCAGGTTGCCCAGGGCCTCGTCGAGCCTCTCCTTGAATATCTCCAGGGAAGGGGCCTCAACCACCTCCCTGGGCAACCTGTTCCAGTGCTGCACCACCCTCACAGTGAAGAACCCTCTCCTCATCTCCAGTCTAAATCTGTTCCCTCCAGCTTGAAGCCATTGCCCCTCGTCCTGTCACTGCAGGCCTTTCTAAACAGGCTCTCCCCAGCCTTCCTGTAGCCCCCTCAGGTACTGGAAGGCTGCTATTAGGTCTCCCCGGAGCCTCCTCTTCTCCAGGCTGAACAACCCCAGCTCCCTCAGCCTGTCCTCGGAGCAGAGGTGCTCCATCCCCCTGATCATCCTTGTGGCCCTCCTCTGGACCCTCTCCATCAGGTCTATATCTTTCTTATATTGAGGGCTCCAGACCTGCACACAATACTCCAGGTGAGGTCTCACCAGAGCAGAGTAAAGTGGCAGAATCACCTCTCTGGACCTGCTGGCAACGCAGCTTTTGATGCAGCCCAGGATGTGATTGGCCTTCTGGGCTGCAACTGCACACTGCCTGCTCATGTCCAGCTTCTCGTCCACCAGAGTGGACTTGAATAGCTCAGGCTCCCCCTTGCTGACACGAAGCACTGGGGGATGAGGCTGAAGCACCGAAGATGAAGCACACCCTCCAGGGACCAGCCCTGACTACAAGAAGCTCCTCCTGTGATACCTGCCACGCGCCTCGCTGGGCTGGAGGAAAGCTACAGGGACACCAGGAGAGCTCGTTGTGAAGACCCATCACATATTTGGAGCATACCAATGGATTATAAAACTGGAAAAAACACCCCCTCCTCTCCCAGATTTACTTAATCTGGACATCATCTGCTTCTGTGGCTGCACTTGCCAAGCACAGCAGATATTTTAGAATATGGAATTTTGCAGAAGGTTCTGCACAAAGGAAGAACTCACCTGAAAAATGATGATGAAAACAGATCTTTGCCAGTAGATGTTGGAAAGAAATGCTAATTCCATCTACTTTAATAGAACTCATGTGCAGATCTCCAGACTCTAAGAGCTTGGCAAAAGCATCACTGCAAAACAGGAAGGGAAGTAAACACTCATACTAGAAATTCAAGTATCAGTTGCCACATTAGCCCCATGCAGACCTTGAGACGCCTCAGGATGCAGAAGTTTAAGTACTACCAAGCTCTAGGAAAAAGGCTTTACAGCAAATATGGGGACTGTAGTCCAGAAACCACTGGAGCACCCTGTGACCTCAACCAGAGCTCCTTCCACACCACTGCCAGCCCAGAGGGCGTAGAGCTCCTTCTTCAGAATCCCTTGAACTAAGTTGCCGGATGTATTATTTTAAGAGTCAAAGGTTACCCGAGAGAACTGAACTGTACCCAGAGCAGTCAGAAGCAGGCAGAGTCAGAAGCATGCCGCGGGTCTGGCAGCCAAAGCTCAGCTCCACATGGGCAGCAAAAGCCCCCGATGTCGTGCTCCCTAAATGGCACTTACCTATAGCAAGGCGTCGTGATCAAGTATGAAGCGCAACTGAAGTGCAATTTGAAATCTAGTTTTTCATGGGTTGAACCTTCATCATTCTGCAACAGGTCAAAGGAAAGGAGATGAATGGGAACACCCCCAGGCAGCAAGAGGAGGCACCACCCCCACCTACCAAACAGGCCCCGATGGAGACTTTAGGGCTCAATTCCCTCTGATACACCCAGGCTGGGCCTGAAGGATCAGCCTGAGAACGACCATCAGGTCAGCCTGACTGCCCAAATCTTGTCTCTGGCTGATACACACACCCAGAGCGGGTAAGAGACACCACTGGAGGGACCTGGCTGCATTTGGGATTGTGCTCTACTGAAATCTAATCGAGCAGCTCATTTAAACTAACACTTGGAGATGTGGTTTTACAGTTTACCATTTCCCACGTAAAATAATAAATTATAACTCCCAGATTCTTAGGTACTGAAAATAGGACAAATACGCTATTTTTAAGAAACCCTTAAAATAGAGCTAACGGCTGACTCAGAAGTAGCCACAATTGTCTCCATTCACTTCCTTCCAGCTGTTCACACAGCTCCTTCATTAATGATTTTACTGAAATAAGATTAGGAACCCACAGTCTCATACAGGTCAACGCTTATTAAACAGTGCCTTCAGCTGACCTCGCTCTTCTTCTGGGTTTCCATCCTTATTAACTGTATCTAACTCTTATCACTACTTTGCCAGCCTTGTACCAGGCAGCAGTGTCCAACCCCTTCTTGGGTAATTCTGGGTGGCATCTCTCTGGGATGGTTGACTCCTCTCCCCAGCAGAGGCACCACCACAGGGACTTTCTAGCTGACAACACGACACGTTTGGGGCTGCGCTGCTCACGCACTCACTGCCAGGAATGACAATCTGGGACATGCTCACGCAGTCATCGGGGACACTCTTCGCACAAGATGTCATGTAAAAATACTTCTCACATCACAGAATGGGCTGGTGCAGCAGGAGATGAAATGATGCCTAAAAAAAGCTCTAAAGCAGTGCCTTCCACCCAAGTCAAGCTCCCTCACGCAGTTCCAAAGGAAGCAGAAGCAGAGTTTAAAGCTGCACTTACTTTGACTATAAAGGACAGTGTTCCTTTTAACTTCTGAGCCATAACAATACTCTGAAGTGTAAACACAAACTGGGCTTCATTAGAGATTCCTAGCGTGAAGAGAGGAGAGGGAGAAGTCAAGTCAGAAAATGGTTTCCAGATCTAATTAATGGTTAGATTAAATGATCAGTAGCAGCTAAGCTTTAAGTACTGACTATTTTTGAACCAAGTGTGAAGTTTTCCACGTAGCTGGAATAGAATTATGCACACAATTCCTGCTGTGAATTAAGGGTGTTGCAGCATTTAGCTCCTGGGTCTCTGAAGAGCGGCAGCGAGAGCTGGCAGCTGGGAGAGGTTATTGAGTGAGGGCCTGGGCAAAGGATGTCACAGCCACAATACATTTAAACCCTTTGTATAGGGGGAAAATATACACCTTCCCAAGCAGTTTTTCAGAACTCACAGACTCACAGAATCATATGGGGTTGGAAGGGACCTCTAGAGATCATCCAGTCCAACCCCCTGCCAAAGCAGGGTCACCCAGAGCAGGTCCCACAGGAACGTGTCCAGGTGGGTTTGAATAATTCACCTTCTAATGTTTCTATGCTTTTCTTGTAACAGACCAGTCTGTGTCAAGAACTACCTTATATAGCATAAAAAAAAATACCCCACTGCTTTCCATGGGGCATCAAAATGCTCCCTGAAGCCTTCTGTGAGCTGCTTCAGCATTCAGATTAACTCTTTGGCAAAGGAAGTGAAATTTGAAGCAGCTCAGCAATTCGACTGCACTATTGTACTATATATGAAGCCATTAGTCTTCATCTCTGTGTCTAACATTTCTCAAGGGCTCAGCTCCCCAGCAAAATAAACACATGCTTATTGCAAACTTCCATTGTAGATGGCCTCTGCCATTAAAACAGAAAGACTAAACCTCAAGAATAAATCCAGAGCAGATTCTAACAGTTCAAGAACCTATGGCTTTGTTTCATTTTAAATTTGGTAGCAAACTCCTCAGGAATCTGGGGTTCATTGGTGAAGCTGGCCCGTTGGAGGGTGTGCCCACCTGCAGGCACCTGAAAAAGGAACTTGAGCATTTGTAACTCAGCTCTACATTACACCGTACAGAACCCCCTGTGTTTATAGCCAGCTGTAAGGAGGTTTGTTCTCTCCAGTGAACTGTGCAAAAGCCCAGGGATCCCCCAGGCAGAGAGAGACATGTTTTTCTGGCAAACAGTGAGCAGCAAGAAGTTCAAAGACTCCTTTCCACGGGAGGGCAGTGCAGGACTAGAATCACACTCCAAGAACCCTGCGCAAAGCGGCGCGTACCAGGGGGGAGCTGGAAGGGCACAGGGATCCCGTCGTGGACTGATGATCCTTCCGGTCGGAGCATTTTAGTGTTGAGAGAGTCCAGGACATTTAATTCCATGCTCTTAAGGAAGCTAGTGCTTTTGTTTTCAAAGATAACAGAGACAGTAACTTGACTATCATTCTGGAGGTTTCCTTGAATATCGTAGGTCTGCAAATAAAGGGAAAAAAGAGTAATCACACAGGTTTCCTTGAATATCGTAGGTCTGCAAATGAAGGGGAAAAAAAAGAGTAATCACATGAGAGATTCAGAAACTTCAAACAGGAGAGCACTGGAACAAAACACAGCAGCAGAACAAAGCAAGCTTCAAAAAGAAGGGCATTCAGTATAGCCACAGTGTAATGGAAAGCACACTGGTTATCAGCTCCACAGTACTGCTAAAGAGTGGGAAAATATCAACTTAAACACTTGTCAAGTGGGAGATGCAAAGGAATGGAAACAGAGCTTTATGTTTCTACCATCCTTGGATTTAAACAGTTCTTCAGTTAAGTGTTGTCTACATAAAGTCGCTATAGTATCCCCAGCACATCCTCTCCTTTCCTACAGAGCACAAAAAGAGAAGACATCTGGATTTGAATCCATAAAACTCACCGTTTTAATGTATGAATTTTCAGCAAGAAGGCGGTAACTGGACATGGGCTGAAAAGCAAAAAAGAAATCAGTGTCACAATGTAACTAATTTCTCTGAAAAGCACTGTCATTGTCCTTCCTCCCAGACCAGTTCAGCTCCTGCCTTTCCCCGAGGCCAGTGCTGCCCACACACGACTACTCACTGGTAGTGGTTCATCGTCTAGTGTTCCGTTCTGCACCGACTCCGTCGGCTCCTCCTCACTGTGATGACTCTTCTTCTTGGATTTCTTTTTATCCTTTGATTTCTCTTCTTTCTCCTTCTTGTGCTTTTTCTTCTTATGCTTGGAGGACTTCTACCAAGAACAACAAGAAACTACAAGAAACCCTTCAAGAAACCCCTGCATTTCCATCATGATCCCTCTACCAATCTTTTGACTCTGACTCCCACTCTTCTGGCTGACTGAAGGTGGTTTCCTACTACTGCAGGAACCTGCAACAGAGCTCCCATTCCTTAAACCCCAACCAACCTTCTGTTCCGAGTCCCAGTAAACCCTTGCTCCCCCCTCAGACGACAACACCTTAACCCAAAGCAGCCTGGGATCGGCAAAAGGCCAAATCTCTTCAAACGCGTTGGAACCTCAGCTTTAAAACTGCCACCTGACCCCTGGTGACCCCAAGGAACAGCCAAACCTCTTATCATTAAGTGTTTTGAGCTCCTCAAGGGCCTAACATAGAATCATAGAATGGTTTGGGTTGGAAGGGACCTTTAAGATCATCAAGTTCCAACCCCCTGCCCTGGGCAGGGACACCTCCCACCACACCAGGTTGCTCCAAGCCCCCTCCAACCTGCCCTTGAACCCCTCCAGGGATGGGGCAGCCACAGCTTCTCTGGCCAACCTGGGCCAGGCTCTCACCACCCTCACCCCAAACAAGTTCTTCCCCACAGCTCAGCTCCATCTCCCCTCTTTCAGTGCCAAACCCTTCCCCCTCCTCCTAGAGCTCCTCTCTCTGATCCAGAGTCCCTCCCAGTATCCCACTGTGGCTCATTTGCAGGTGGTTGCTACACTGACCAGGATGCTGCTGGCAATTCCCATGGGCTTCTTTGTAAGGAACACGAAACACGAGGAGAAAATGGCCATGGGTATCAGCAACTTCAACCACTTACCTTTCCTTCATCATCCTCCTCATCATCATCTCGCTCTTCCCTTTCTTCCTTTTTCACCTCTTGAGTTTCAGCCACAACAGCAGCACTCGCTTCAGGCTCGCTCTGAGCAGATTGTGATTAGATTAGATCATGAGCAGAAGGTTTATGACACTAATGGAATGCACTGAAACCACTGAATCCCACACCAAAAGAGATCTCAACAGTGACACCCCCCCCCATCAACTGTGACTTCAAAGACGACATCAGACCAACACGGTATCAAGCCTTGTATTTTATGCCTCCAAAACCCAGCAAATATGATCACCCGAGGACAAGATACAAAAGATTTCCTCCAAGGAATCCATCCTCTTGCATTCCCTGTCTCTTCCTCTAAAATCTCCCATCAAAATTCAAGAGACTGTGTCTCTCACGTCTATTAATATTGCTAGTGTCCAGCTCACAGCAGGAAATAAAACCACACAAGACTACAATATTAAAAAACACCACCAATATTAAAATCCACCAAGGCTGGAGATGCATCTGTAGATGCATCCATTGATCTGCGCAGCAGAATGAGCTGGAAACCTCCCATTACAGTGTCTGTAACTGGGGAGATAAAATGTCATTGCTCCATAGCAATAAGCTTAGGAGATGAAGCTGATCTTCCCCCTCTCCCCCTCAGTGTGACAAAGACTCTGGTCACAGCTGAGATGCCACCAGGAGAAGTTTCCTGCGACAGGGTAAGATGCCTACCTGTGCCTGGGTCGTGGAAGCAGCCGGTGGAGCCGTGGAGAGCCAGAAATCCAAGTCTTCCCCCTGAATTTCAAGAGAAAACAAAACCATTATGGTTGTTTTGATACCATTCTTTAAAAATAAAAATTAAAAAAAAAAATTAAAACCTCAAGTTTTCATGGAAATACATCACTGCAGAGTGCTCATACCCACATGCTGCAATACATTTTAGGAGCAAATAGTTCAGAAAGCTTAACCTCAGCCTTTGGGCGCTTCCAAACCCAGACACAGCTAAGAGTGACTGAAATTACCCTCATACCCCAGTACCCGCAGGCACCAAAGCACATGGGCTGTATCTCAGAGGAAAGGTGTGTCTCTGCAGAGTGGGCAACAGGAAGGAGACTTAAATCTTCAGAGTAACTGACAACTGATGTCAGGTTTTATAACTGAAAGGTTCTGAAGGACGCAGGGGACAGGAGGAAGAACTGAAGTGAGTTCCAGATATTTTGCCAAAGATTTCCCCGTTGTAAGAACAGGCAAGATATCAGTAAACTCAAATTCCAAATCAGATCTGGAAGATCTGCTGTGTAGGCTGCAGGAAGCTGAAAGCTGGTAACTTCTGAGGCTAAATCAATGCTATTTTTATTAATAGAAATCTTTAAATACCTGCTCTTATGGCGGTAAAAAATTAAGGAAATAAAGGTGGAAAACATTCAGCTGTTTAAGTTGTCAAATATGACTGTTCCTACACAACAAAACACAGCAATAAATATGGCTCATAAAAGCAGTTTCAAAAGTAAAGCAACTTTTGAAGAATTACCTTCTTCGCTTCTTCCTCCTCCACTACCTTCTTCTCTTTCTCTTTCTTCTTGCCTTTGTCTCTCTCTTTTTCTTTGTGTTTCTTTTCCTTCTTTTTGGGTTTCTTGCTCTTCTTCTCTACTAGGGGAGCTTCAGAATCTGGTGACTTCAGGGTCTCAACATTTCTGTGCCTCTGCACTGGCAGCTTCTCACTGTCTGCTAAGGGTCTTCAAAACAAAAAGGAGACCATTACAAACCATTCCTCTTTTGCAAACAGCCTCCCTTGGCTCAGCTTATCCTGCTGGACACCCAAGACAAGGTAGGCTTTGTTTTTAAAGAGTTGGGCCCCAAATCCTTAACTCTGCACATACTTTTGTACCCAAAGTTTATTTATATAATTGCAGATGCTGCCCTCGCGGGTTAGAAGTTAATAGAAAGGTTTTGAAGGTGACCAAAAGCCAAGCTCTCCCTGATGCCTGATCCCTTGTAAAAGGGGTAACTATAGACTCGTGGGCTGTGTGTTACTCCTCTGGAGGTGTAACCCAGCAACACGCTGCCTCTCTGTGAGACCACTCTCCAAGGAGGAGCAGAGACAGAAAACAGCAGGGAGCATTTGCGATGACAGCACGGTGCAAGCAGCCCCCAAAGGGCACGGGTTTTCTTTAATGGTGAATAGATCACCCCAACTGGAAATGATTTTAAGCAATAAATTGATTCATTTTGGAAGTTTCCGCCATGAATCTGTACTCTACCATCATATTTTAAAAGTTGTGTTTAATTTCAGATACCTATTTCTAAAAAGCCCATGTAGTTCAGATTTACACCGTGTCCCAAATCCATTACTGGGAAAAAACCACCACAGGCTTCTCCCTTTTTGTCAAACAAGAACGTCCTCTTTCTTGTCCAGAAATCAGCGGGACATTCACCGATTGCCTCTTCTTCTATTTCTACAGCATTTACTTAACATTAATTCTCATGTTTGAGCAGCAAACACCTGCTCAGGAAGATTTCTAATGGTCTCCCCTACCTCTTTTTTTTTTTTTTGGCTTATACTGCATAAAGAATCAGACCCAATTAATTTTTCACTTTGAAGCAGACAGTGCAAGGGCAGGACGGACCCCCCCATCTGCCTGAAGAGTAATGACACCTCATCTTATTGCTCTCTCCAACTCCCTGAAAGGAGGGTGTAGAGAGATGGGGGTCGGTCTCTTTTCTCAAGTCACAGGCGACAGGACGAGAGGAAATGGCCTCAAGTTGCCCCAGGGGAGGTTCAGGATGGATATTAGGAAAAATTTTTTCACTGAAAGGGTTCTCAGGCATTGGAATGGGCTGCCCAGGGAGGGGGTTGAGGCCCCATCCCTGGAGGTGTTCAAAAGACGGGTTGATGTAGTGCTGGGAGGTCTGGTTTAGTGATGATGCTCCTTGTTTGTTGTGGGGGTGTCTATTTTTGTCAGTGAGGTTGACGGTTGGACAAGATGATCTTTAAGGTCCCTTCCAACCTAGAAGATTCTGTGATTCTGTGATCTTCAAGCTATTTCACATACACCTGTCCAGGGAACAGGGGTCAGCACTGAAAGTCAACCATGAAATAAACTCACACTAATCTGAGGGTCAATTATCTCAATCCACTGTAATCAACCAACCTGACAAAGAAGGTCGAGCGCTCGGCAATGTGTTCTTACCTGGAAGGCTTCCCTGAAACCAGACTGCGTGTGAGCGTGACACAGAGAGAGCAGTGCAAGCACCGAGAGAGAGAGAGAGGACAGAGACATGAGAACACGTGAGAGGAGAGCACAGCGACTCGGACGGAACGGCAGGAGAATGGATGGAAACACTACAAAAGCCCAGAGGTGCCTCCTGCAGCGCAGCACTCGCACCGCTCCGCTCAGCGTTTTCTCTGCTGCTGAGGCTTCTCACAGAAACGTGAGGTCTATAGTCAGAAAATAATTTCCTTTTAATAAATTCGTCCCCTGCAGACTCAGAAAAATGTGACCGGGAGTTTTTCAGAAACTGTTCTTTCACTTTTTAAAAATGGTACATCGCTTTTTTTGCAAGGTGCCTACAGATTTGACAACTGTAGAGAACAGCACAGACTTTAAAGTATCAGAGAGAAAAAGAAATACTACACACACACGTGCCTGCACAGTCTTCAAAACTTTACAGGAGGCATCCACAGACCGTAAATCAGCAATTTTATCACACAGCATGCAGGGATTCAGAGCCTGTGCTGTACACAGCTCCAAGAGCTGAATGGGCACCAGACTCTGGTCAAAACCACGATATGCAGCTCGCTCAGTCATACTAGAACAACATTTTTCAAGGGTGGCACCACACTGAATGTCCACAGGGCAATGGGAATGCCACAAACTGGCTGTTACTGGTCAAGTTATCACAAGACAGAGCATAGAGGCTTGTGGTGCATATAGGGGCTGAGACGAACACGGATGGATGCAGGTCTCACTCTGTGCCAAGGCAGATTAGATCAAGAGATGCTGGAAGACCCACAAGCTCAGATTCACTCTCCCACACCCGATCCCAGTGCACTGCCTGCACTTTCACACTCCTCTCTGGTGCACAAACAGATACCCCACCCTCCTAAACCCCCGCCACTGCAGCTGCTCAGCTTTTACCATCCACACTGCAGCAGGAACCCACACCTGGCCCATCATTGAAGGCTACAGCCAAGGCATCACCTGGTCTTTCCACCTCTTCATCTACTGGACTGTAGACAGTGCCTTTGCCTGTTCAGCCCCAGACCTGTCCCCACATGCTGTGGTCAGTGATTGAGTAGAGTCACACACCAACCCATCACTTACTTATCCAGATCTATGTCCAGCGCCTTGTACGGGTCATTGGGATCTTTGTCATCTTCATCACTGGGCAAAGCGTTCTGTGAGAGAGAAAAAGAGCAGCCACTGAGGAACTGAACCACAAGCAATTTCCAAACTAAACCCCTACATCCCCCAAACCAGTTTTTTTAAGACTTAACCCTTGCACAGGCAGCCTGCGGTCGGGAAGTTATAGGAACAACTTTAACGCGGCATCTAGTTACGAGATTAATTTAGAACAGAAACCCATTCTTCATAAATGGCAGGATTTGAACTGCTGCTCTTCGGTTTTGATTAAAGGAAATTTTAGGAACAAATACAGATTACATCATTAGCATGTGCAATTAATTATAATCAGCTGCAAACCTGCTGACTAGGCAGCAAGTTAGCGTCAAAGTGAAGCAGCAGAGCATAACAAATGAAGTGAATATTTGGACAGCATTACTTTTATAGCAGAGATGCATATTGCTTGGTTTATGTTTGGTTTTAGGGTTGGTTTTTTTTTTTTACAGCTTCAGTGGCAATTTTTGTCTTTTTGTGCACAAAAAGACAATAATTTTTCCTCCTGCAAAGAACAGCTTAAGAGCATCTCCATCAGTCGTTTCTCAAACAGCTTGGCAAGAAAGCAGTGCTCATGAACTGCAACAACACAGAGTAGCTGGTGATTTCTGGGGGGAAATCTTTCCAGAAGAGCACACAGACAAACCCCACAGCTCACCCCACCAACCAAAGCTACCAACCTCTGGCATCTCTTCTGTTATGATGTCGACGTGGTGAGCTGGAGCGATGTCCTCCTCGCTCTCCGTGTGCAGAGAGTTATGACGATGGTGTTTACCTCTCTTCTCCTTTTTCTGTTTTTTCTTTTTCTTGTCTTTCTCCAGTTTCTGTTTGTGTCTTCGCTCTTCTTCCAGTTTCACATACTGGTCAGACATAGGCATTCCTGTGGAGGAAGCCAAACTGCTTTCAGACAGGGATCACCAAAGCAGTATGTTCAGCAAGACCCTTGCTTGTAGCTTCTCAGAATGAGAAGGGTCCCCACCTCTCTCTGGTCCATGTTATCTCACACACACCCCTCCTACAGCAGCTTTACCATCCCAGACAGATCTCTACCCTGCTCCTGGAGCCTTGTCCACATTAACTGGATTACGAAGAGCACCTTAACATTGATATTTAAAGTAAAATTGGTGCCATTGTTGTACTAATGGCCTCCTGGGCTGTATCGGGAACAGGGTGGGGAGTAGGACATGGGAGATGGATCACACTGGTGAGGCCACACCTCGAGGGCTGGGTCCAGTTTTGGGTCCCTTCCCACAAAAAAAATATTGAGGGGATGGAGTGGGTCCAGAGAAGAAACACGGAGCTGGTGAGGGGTCTGGAGCACAAGTCTTGTGAGGAGAGGCTGAGGGAGCTGGGGGTGTTCAGCCTGGAGAAAAGGAGGCTGAGGGGAGACCTTCTGGCTCTCTCCAACTCCCTGAAAGGAGGGTGTAGCCAGGGGGGGGTCGGTCTCTTCTCCCAGGGAACAGGCCATGGGACAAGAGGAAACGGCCTCAAATTGTGCCAGGGGAGGTTCAGGATGGAGATTGGGAACAATTTGGACACGGAAAGGGTTATGAAGCCTTGGAATGGGCTGCCCAGGGAAGGGGTTGAGGCACCATCCCTGGAGGGATTTAAAAGCCGGGTTGACATAGTGCTTAGAGACATGGGTTAGGGATGGTTTTTATCAGAGTTAGGTTGATGGTTGGACTAGATGATCTTAAAGGTCCCTTCCAACCCAGACAATTCTATGATCCTATGATTCTAATACTGACAACTTTACATGCTTTTGGAAAAACCTTTATGTAAGCCTTAAATATTTGCACTTTAAAGCGGTCACTTGCAATGTACTGCACTTTATCAGCAGCTTTTCAGTGCTGTATACTCATGAGATAAACACCTTTTGGTATTTGAAACGAGATATTAAAATAGTTTCTCTGCCATTAGACTCTACTTACTATCTTCTGATCACCTTCATCAGCCCTTTCAGACATTCTAAAGGTGACACTTTTCCCCACAGAACAGTGGTCAGTTTATGTGTTACAGGCTTTGCTGCACAATATCCTTAAATCACAGAATTACTGCTACTACTGTCCTGAGAGGAACTGCACTTGGGCTGCAAAGTACTATTTTCAAACACATATAAGTTAAGGAGATACACTTAAGAGTCTAACAAAAGAATGCCCTTAGAAAAGCCTAAAAAAAATTCCTAAGAAGGAATGATTACGTTGCTTAACTGAATTTCTGCAATTAATTTTAAAAATTAGCTGGACTTACCCGGAACTTTTAAGGGGACAGAAAGGTCGATCTGGACCACAGGGATGTGTTCCACACCTGGAGTGTCTTGGTATCGCTGGGAAAACGAAAGGTGGTTACGCTGGAAGAGTTGCCAGACACAAATCCATATAAATAGGCACAATTCATAACATCAAGTACTTTAATCCTTTAAGTGAACATTTTAAAGGATAGGAATGGAATGGCTCAGGACTAAATCCTATGTGGTAGCAGAGGGTATTTAAATCCAGCTGATGGCTCTTATAAAAGACCCTACTTCTGGCTACAGATTTTTAACCCTGCTGCTGCTGCCCTGAAGGAGGCCTGGTGCTGCTCTCTGAAGAATTTTTAGTTTGTGTTTTATTGCTAATAACTCGCCACTTCAAAAGATCAATTTTGAGATCTGAGTTGAGGAAACTGGGTCAGTCCTTAGGATATACAGGGAATAAAGCAGGTTCTTTCCCTGAAAATAGTGTTAAGAACAGACCACGATGACCTTTTGATCCATAAAATCACTGCGTGTTCAAGAGGGGCACGTTCAAGGGTCACTCTCCCTCATTGCTCTCAGTTCAGTGCAATCTGGACCCTTTCATCTCCTAGGGCAGCAACAAACTACCTGCAGGGGCATTTGTGCCACAGGGGCACAGAGAAGTATCTCCCCACAGCTTTCAGAGTCTTTGCTGACATACAAACACTGTGCTTTCCACCACAAGTTAATCCAAATGGTTCCAAACTGCTCTGGAACAGGGGCTGTGACAATTACTGCTTTCTTGTTTCTAACCTGGAAGTCCACTGGGGCCTCACACAAAACCTCATCACAAATCCTCTTGTGATATTCAGTCATTTTTTTGTGTTTCTCAACACAAATGCAACTTAAATAATTGTAGGTAGTGGCAGCCCTGACACCCTGGGAGCCTCCACACAGTTACACGAGAGCCCAGAAAGAGATTGTGATTCAGACACACTCACCTTCTGTGGGGAAGGAGAGCTTTTTATATAAAATGGGTTGTTTGCCTGTTCTTGTTTCCGGGCTTCTCGACGCTAAAAGCAAAAGAGTATTTGTAGTTAGAGTGTTTGTTTCTAAGTCAAGAGAGATAAAAGGCAAAGTGCAAAATGCAATTTCCCTGGATTTTTGGAACAATATATTACTCCTTGCAAAAAGACTACAGCATAGTAGTGTACAGTAAACCAGTTTTGAGTTGCAAGACACACTAGAATATACAAGTGCTGTTACCACTGTAACTAATAATCCTTTAGAACATCCTTTCTTTCCTTTTTTTTTAATTCTAGACTGGAGAGAGCAACTCCTGAAGACCAGACTTTGATGGTAATTCAAATGTTTCTGTTTTCATCTTTGCAAAGAGAGGAAGAAGCAAAGATTCTCATCAATAACTAGTTTTCATTACGAAAACACAGAGGTCAGAAGCAGGAAACGTGGTATCACTGCTGAGAGCAGTCACATTAGAGTAATTCATAGAAGCTGCTAAAGTCCACAAGCAAAGGTGCTGCCTCTTTTCCTGCCTGTATAGAGCACAGAGAATAAGAAAAGTACACCAACCGAGGTGTATAAATACCAAATAACTGCAGAACTCAGCACAAATGTCCGTCCCCAAGGCGCTGTACTTCAAAGCACACTGCACTGCACACCACAGTTCAAATAACTGCAGAACTCAGCACAAATGTCCGTCCCCAAGGCGCTGTACTTCAAAGCACACTGCACACCACAGTCTGCAGGTCACATCTTTACAACACTCAAAGCTCCTAACAAGAGCCATGTTTTTATAATATCTTGTTTTGATTTGGACAAGCCAGACGAGCTAGGCTTCCAAGAGAACTTTCTATTGGATGCATTCCACAATGGCTAAAAAAAAAACCCACCCTGTATTCAAATACATCTATCTTATTCACATCAAACCCTCAGCTCTCCTGAGCTGTAGAAAGCAGAACAGGTCCCTGGCTCCATGGAGAATCCCCAACAGCTCCAGCTGCTGTTACAGCACTTGAATTATGTAGGGAAAAGCATTTTATCACTCACTCTGGCCAGTTCCTCTTCATCTATTTCTGGCTGCCTGTGTCTGGAATGCCTTTGTTCCTCATCGTGGAAAATTGTTTTGGGCTTTTCATCTTCAGACTCACTGTCTGATGGAGGTTCATTGATCCAGGCATCAAGGTCCAAGCTGGCAAGAATCACAGTAAACAAACAGCTTGACTCAGTACCCCTGAGTATTTCAGTATTTCTAATCATAGATTTAGTTTTACTATTTAAGTTTAAATAAGGCTTTGGGGGAGAGAAGGAACCTTACCCCTCTGGAACTGGTACTTTCTTCTGAGCTTTAGGAGCCACAGGGTTCAGCTCACCAGCAAACAGGGCTATTACTTCCTCAGCTACAGGGACTTCTTTTATTTGTAGCTTCTGAATATATTTTATTAGTTGCAAGATGCAAGAAGCCTGAAACCAAATGCAGAAGTAATATGAGGATTAACGTTAAACTGAACCAAAAAAATCAACTGCAACGAAGGTCAGCAGAAAACTGCTGTTCTACAGTTCTGCTCCATTAAGAACTGTTCTACTCCATTAAGGGAATTAAGGGAAGCAGCATAACTGTAGCTTTAGAGCAAATGTAAAAAAAAAATCCATGTTAACCCCTCTTTGAGCTGTGCCCTTATGTGCTTGCATAATTTAAAAATTGTTTTAAGTGAGAACCTTGCATGCAGTCTTCCAAGGGTATCGGACTGGAATAAGGTCTCAGCTCCAACATGAAATGTCACCACCCTTCCCAGTTCTAGAGCTTTCTTTTCCTTTCTAGAGCTTTTACGCAAAGCACAGACTAAACGCACTGCTCCACCAGTAACAATGGCTTAGATAAAACTTGCATATCCATAGTGAATTACATAGATGCTCCAAGACAAATAAAGAGAATTTGTATTATAACTCTCCTGTGAGGACAGGCTGAGAGAGTTGGGGGGTTCAGCCTGGAGAAGAGAAGGCTGCGGGGAGACCTTGGAGCCCCTTCCAGTCCCTCAAGAAGGGGGGCTCCAGGAAAGCTGGGGAGGGACTCTGGATGAGGGAGGGGAGCCCTAGGAGGAGGGGGAAGGGTTGGACCCTGCAAGAGGGGAGATGGAGCTGAGCTGTGGGGAAGAACTTGTTTGGTGGGAGGGTGGGGAGAGCCTGGCCCAGGTTGGCCAGAGAAGCTGTGGCTGCCCCATCCCTGGAGGGGTTCAAGGGCAGGTTGGAGGAGGCTTGGAGCAACCTGGTGTGGTGGGAGGTGTCCCTGCCCAGGGCAGGGGGTGGCACTGGGGGGGTTTTAAGGTCCCTTCCCACCCAAACCATCCTGTGGTTTTATGATTCTATACAATCCAAAGCTGTTTTGTTCTCTTACCCTCTCCTGAACTTCCAGGTCTGCACTCTGGACAAACTGTGGCAGGCGGTCGATCATGAGCTGTGTGATTTCCTGAGCCCCTTCCTTTTCCCCAGCCTGCTCCTTCTGCTGCAGGATGGACGCGTAGAGCTTCACCATGTTCTGCACATACACTGCCTGGATGTGGCCTGGCAGAGTCGTAACTTTAGGCCTCAACATTGCTTCTAAAGTTTGGTTTGCTTCCTCCAGGTGTCTGTAAAGACAGAGCGCACAAATGAAAGCTGGCAATTGAGAACTGTCAATATTTCATCAGTCTTCCGGGAGAAGAATTTTTTTTTAAACCTTGGTTGCAGTACAAGGTGCTACAGAAAGACAGGGTAGACTCCAAATTCAGACTCATCTGTGTATTCTCCCCTTCCAAATTACAGCAGTAACACAGCACAGAAGAATTTACAGCTGTCTTCTTTTACAGAGGGGGAGAGACACCCCAGCTTCCACCTTTACAAGTTGATATTCTCTCCATTAACTAAACTTTGCACTTTTAAGTGCCCTCTCCATGGCCAGCCTGGATCTCACAGCCCAGTTACCTTCCTGCTATTCTACGCTTCACCGAGGTTGTATTTCCAATTGTCCACTGAACAAAAATACAGTCTAGTAGACAATGCTTAATACACCCAAAAGAATGCAAATCACAGCACTTGCTTTAATAATCTCATGCGCTTATTCAAAATTGTCTGCTCACAACTAAAAGGAAAAAGAGGGGGAGAGACAGCCCAGTTTCCACCTTTACAAGTTGATATTCTCTCCATTAACTAAACTTTGCACTTTTAAGTGCCCTCTCCATGGCCAGCCTGGATCTCACAGCCCAGTTACCTTCCTGCTATTCTACGCTTCACCGAGGTTGTATTTCCAATTGTCCACTGAACAAAAATACAGTCTAGTAGACAATGCTTAATACACCCAAAAGAATGCAAATCACAGCACTTGCTTTAATAATCTCATGCTCTTATTCAAAGTTGTCTGCTCACAACTAAATGGAAAACACACAAAAATGTCACTGGGTCATTACAAAAGGAAAGCTCAAGTTCTTTCCAAGTAAAAGCGTGATCAAACTGAAAAAGGAGAGTGTTGTCTTGCTTCTTAATCTACAGTTTTCTTTGCAGACCTTTAACTAGATGAAGATCTGAGCCTTATCAGTGTTCCCTAAAAGTATCACTCCTACTATGTGAATTTAAACTGGAACCAGCGCTCAAGGTGGTAATTACAAGAAGAAACCAAACCAGATAAAAGGAGACTACACTATCATGGTGTTTCCAGCGTATCAAACTGAAAGCTGTGTAAGGATCTTATACACAGCTGGGAGACAAAAACATCTATTTAAGCTAAAAGACACTGTTGGCACAAGAACACTGAAAGTTGTGCTACTGTGGGTACAGATAAGTTTTGAGAAAAAAAACCACAAACCTAGCCTTCAGAAAGATTAGGTTCTGCAAAAACCTTTCAACAAGGGCAAAAGAGGGAGGGAAGAGCAAAAACTAATTCAGTCAAACAGTGACTGGACATTTTGCCAATGATATAAGTGGGGTTTGACCTTAATGGTTAAGGAGTTTTTCTAATGTATTAAGATCTTACTGCTCATACCCACAATTACGCCTTCCTGCCTGAGTGGGCAGGACCACAGAGATAAGAAAAAAAGACCAGACACTCAAAATGAAGCGTTTGTCTTTGCAAGAAACAGCTGAGGAGTCACGGGGTGAGGGAGGGGGAAAGCAGCCCTTTGTTAGCTTTAGGGTGCACACAGAATCACAGAATCATCTAGGCTGGAAGAGACCCTCAGGATCATCGAGCCCAACCATCCACCCTACTCTAAAGTTCTCCTCTACACCATGTCCCCCAACACCACATCTAAACGGTTCTTAAACACAGCCAGGGATGGGGACTCAACCCCCTCCCTGGGCAGCCTGTTCCAATGCCCCCCCACTCTCTCTGTGAAGAATTGTTTCCTAATGTCCAGTCTAAACCTCCCCTGGCGCAACTTGAAGCCATTACCCCTTGTCCTATCATCTGTAACTGGGGAGAAGAGACCGACCCCCACCTCTCTACACCCTCCTTTCAGGGAGTTGGAGAGAGCAGTAAGGTCTCCCCTCAGTCTCCTCTTCCCCAGACTGAACACCCCCAGCTCCCTCAGCCTCTCCTCATAAGACTTATTCTCCAGACCCCTCACCAGCTCTGTGTCCCTTCTCTGGACCCGCTCCAGCACCTCAATGTCTTTCTTGTGGTGGGGGGCCCAAAACTGGACACAGTACTTGAGGTGGGGTCTCACCAGTGCTGAGTACAGGGGGAACAAGTACAGAGTTCACACTCTGAACTATCTTTCTTTTAGAAGTACTTTTCAGTGATATGAATCTTTGCCTGAAAGAGGCAGCTCAAAGCCCGTCAGGGTTTCCACATGCCCTTACTCGGAGAACTCCCCGCAGATCCAAGCGGCGGCGTAGAGCACCTCGCAGATCCCGTTCCTCTGGGTGTTGCTGGCGATGAGGTGGGCGTTGTCCAGGAGCATGGCCATCTGAGAGACCGCAAACTTACGGATAGCTTTCACTCTGATGGCTACATCCAGCATCTGGGCTGCTATGAGATGCCCGTGCCGTGTCCCTTCCAAGCGGGTCAGCTCCACCAAGATGCTTATGTACCTACAGAAAGTGAAAGGGATGCAATTTTAATCAGCAGACAATTGTGCGCTGCTGACGGTCTCAAAGGTGACACGTAAAACCACTGACCATTCGAAGTTTGTGATATATTGATAATTGGACTGACTACAAATATCTATGATTTTAGTCAGCAGCTCATCCCGGTACGTCGTCCCTTCTGCTTTATCCACGTGAATCATCAGTTTCTTCACTATCTCCATCAAGTTCTTCTTCGATACCTGTTAAAGAGTTATTGATAGGTTTAACCAAAACTAAGCCATTTCCCACACCGTCAAGTCCTACTAATCCCATTAAGGCAGCTGTGAGCTCTTTGATGGACCCATGTTGTGTGTTAACAAGAAATCAGAACCACTTCTCCAGGCCCCAGCTTCAGTCACAATCAAAAAAGGAAACCTTTTATTTCTTTTCAATGTTGTTATGAAAGCAGAGCCAGCAGAAGTACCCAAAACCATGCTGTGGGAGAGCTGAGAATCAGGATTACACATCTTGTACTTGCCTTAAGTGCCATGAAAAGATCTGGGAGTTATCATCCCAAGACTACCAGGGAGACAGGAAGAGAAAGTTGGATTTCTTAAACATCAGCCTCCAAAAGGGTCACGGGGGCTGGAGGGGAAAGGAAATACATGTAGAAACATACCATGCCATAGAGGAGATCTAAAGCTCTGAGTCGGATGGACTCATCTTTGTCATCCAGACACTGGAGAATGAGATCCTTGTGAGATTGAACTGATTTAGGATGCGTTTTCAGGATTTTGGACATCGCTAACAGTCCCAGGTATTTCACTGTGAAAGACAAAATAAAACTTCTTTCCAAATATAGAAACACTGGTTTGTGTTGAGCATGACTTCTTAACACCAAGCGCTTCTACTAAAACCAATTTTAATACACTTGAATAAAAATCTACGCTGAAGAAAAGCATTTTTAAGAAACAGTGCATCACAGATTATGGTCTTTAGTTTTATAGTCTCATATGTAGGCACATCGTTACACATATAGCCTTCATCACAGTGTTCTTGTGCCTCAAGTTTTATCATTGATTTTTAAATGTTTTTAATATATAGATACTATGGGTTTTGAGAACAGGCATCCTAGGATGAACTCAGCTTTAAAAGCACTGATATATTAAGTACGGGTCCTGGTCTCGATGGGAGAAATTCAGATGGCAGGAAAAAGTTTACTCAAAAAAGGATTTCCCAGTGTTCTCTGAAGTCACTAAAATAGTGACCATTCTTGCATTGTACTATTATGTTTCCACTGCCCAATACCCCTTATTACTTTCCAGGCAGCAAGTTTATAAAAAGGGGAAAACACAGAGCATGGAAAGAGAACTGCTTTTGATTTTACAAGACCACAACCAGCAGTAATAATGAATCTCATTTGTTTTTAAAAAGCTCATTATGAAGAAGCGCTCACCATCAAAAATTATTTCCACATTAAAAATCCCCACAATTGTTTAGAACTACACTACAACCCCGAACAAGCTGGTTGGGGAAACAGTTCATTGCTCTAAAACTGCTGCACTTTCTCCCCAGTGGCTGGTTGCTAAAAGCTGCCATGAAGACAAGCACCACACTTACAGTTCTGGTCCGAATCTTCTATCAATATCCTTAACTTCTGAACACAAAGCTGGAAAAAAAGATCACAGCATGCTTATTACAAGCCTTACAAGAGTTATTTTAATTACGGCTTTATGATGTTTATTCAATCGACAAGGAAGCATTGGAATGGGCTGCCCAGGGAAGTGGTTGAGGCACCATCCCTGGAGGTACTTAAAAGCTGGGTTGACACGGTGCTTAGAGACATGGGTTAGTGATGGTTTTGATCAGAGTCAGGTTGATGGTTGGACTGGAGGATCTTGAAGGTCCCTTCCAACCCAGACAATTCTATGGTTCTGACCCAGACCCAGTCAGAGGGTTTCAAAATCGGTTTGAAAACCAAAGGAACTCCTGTATGATTGCATTGATAGTAGCAGCTCAATAAGAGTTAGGAAAACTCTAAATGAGAAGAATCTGCTTTTTAAAGCAAAGAAAATAAGAGAATTTATATAGGAAATGCTTCAGTCAGTAGGATTCCACCCAAGTGAGAGCGCTTTAGGGAGCTATTGCTTTAACTTTTGGCAAAGGACCACAATCCAATTTCAGGGGCACAGCCCATAGCATCACACAGCAGAGCCCCACAAGGAACCCCCCCGGGGGCAGTGCCCTACCTGGATGCTGGCGCTGTGATTGGGCATCCCCGAGGACAGAGAGATCAGAACTGAAACACAGAAGCACAAACTGCAGTTACTATTTCTGAATTCTGAAGGGAGATGCCCTTTATCTGGCTGGTTGTCTGTTTGCTTGGACTTTTGGGGGATCTGAGCAGCGTGGGGGAAAGAAGGTTGTTACACAAACTGTACTTTCATATACATTAAGAGTAATAATAGCAGGACAGGAAAAAAGAAATGTAAAGGTAGGAACTGCTGGAACAGCCAGGTCAAAGCTGCTTTTCATTAGGCTTTGCTCTCATTAAGGTTCACTTCACTGATATCGTGTAGCTTCAAGTCTGTAAATATGTCATCAGCTGCTGTACAGCTGAATTTTTAAGTGTGCCCTTCCCTAATGGAACAAGATGCAGCAATGGAGCCTAAAGTTTAATGTAATTAGATTGGAGCTTTAATCAAGCCAGTGAGAGACTCCAGGCAAAAATCAGGTCCCATTGTTGATTGTATTGGACGTCCGCAGAGCCCTGGCAGCACACAACCCTGCAGCAGGAACGGGGGTGTCAACAGGGACCTGCTGGGGTCAACAGGGACCTGCTGGGGTCACACAGCACAGCCAAACCAACGCTGACTCTCACCGAGGATACCACAACTAGTAAGTCCAGTGGCATTTTGCTCTCCAGAACCCCCCCCGAGCTCCATTTCTGAGAAGGTGTGTTGGATGCTGTCACTCTGGGTCACGCAAAGAGCTGGCAGGCACAAGGTGCTGCTCCAACCCAGGCCCCCAGCTTCACACCTCGTTTTCTGAATCTGAGATTCACATCACAGCCCTGGAGGTGTCCTGGGTGCGTGAATTTCCCCCTGAACCACAGAATTACCCTACTGTATCTCAAGGAAGTGCACTCTCATCCACAACAGAATGAATCTCCATGGTATTTTCCCCCCACCATAACGTCATCTCACCTTTCCCTGAAGGAATGAGTGACACAGAGTGAGTGACAGGTCACCCTTTCCTCTCTGAACCCACCCAGTACAGCATGTTCCTGCATCATTAGCCAAACTACCCTAAAGTCACAGATTTAGGGCCAAACTGATGTCAATAACCCTTTACTTCCACACTAGGACAGAGAAGTGCCAAGTCTGAGCTGGAATAGTGTGTCATCCCTTTTTGCCTTTGTCCATCCCTCCCCCAGAAATTGAAACTGTAAATCAATTATTCCAATTATTCCCATGACCTCCTTTAAGTAATCACAGCAAGTTAAGTTGTGAAGTTGTAGAATTAAAAAAAAAAGTAAGTCTGCTCCTTCATCACAGAAGGAAACTTTGTCAAAGTTTCCATGAAGCATCAATCACATTTTAATCCTGTTCCTAGTATAATTCCTAATTCTAGCAACATATAAATAATCCCTCCTGGGTTGTATTTTGTTTCAGCCTGTAGCAGATCTGACACTGCTGTAGTAACTCAGCCCCACCGACTGACAACGAGGAATTTCAGTTCCAGTTACACAGTGACATAAATCAAAGTTTGCCGGGCAACGTATTTCAGTTATAAAACACATTAAAGTTAAAAAAAAAAAAAAGGTTTACAGATGGTGTTAATTGATGACAAAGTTCATCATGTTATTTTCAAGGTTACAAATTTCATTTCTCACCTGCTATTACTGTGTTCACACATTCATATAAGAGGGACATGGCTGAGGTGCTGCAACAGAAAAAGAAATATTTTAAATAAGGAATAAAACCAGCACATTTTGAAGAGTTGTCAGCCATATCTCAGAGCTTGTTAACACCTTTAATTACAGAAGAAATTGCGAGTATTCTGTTCCATGTACCTTCAAGCTCAATTAAATGATTCTCACTCAAGAACAGTGGGGTGGGGGCTACTGAATGTTAAAAAAATGATCTTCTTTGCAAAGCAGCAAGTAAGAGCCCGGTAATCCAAGAGATGAGGAAGGAAGTGGTTACTCAAAGCCCAGTTACAGAACACTGAATCAATCTTCTCCGAGAATCAAATCAAATCCACTGCCTAAGGTCAAAATGAGTAAAAAGATCTGGGGATCCTGGTGGACAAGAGGATGCCCAGGAGCCAGCAATGGGCCCTTGTGGCCAAGAAGGCCAAGGGCATCCTGGGGGGCATCAGGAAGAGTGTGAGCAGCAGGTGGAGGGAGGTCATCCTGCCCCTCTGCTCTGCCCTGGGGAGGCCCCAGCTGGAGCACTGGGACCAGTTCTGGGCTCCCCAGTTCCAGAAGGACAGGGAACTGCTGGAGAGGGGACAGCAGAGGCTACAAAGATGATGAGGGGCCTGGAGCATCTCTCTCATGAGGAGAGGCTGAGGGACTTGGGGCTTTTTAGTGTGGAGAAGAGAAGGCTGAGGAGGGATCTGATCAACGCCTATAAATACTTCAAGGGTGGGTGTCAGGAGGATGGGGCCAGGCTTTTCTCAGTGGTGCCCAGGGACAGGACAAGAAGTAACGGACACAGACTGGAAAGTTCCATCTCAACATGGGGAGGAACTTCTTTCCTGTGAGGGTGGCAGAGCCCTGGCAGAGGCTGCCCAGGGAGGTGGTGGAGTCTCCTTCTCTGGAGACATTCAAACCCTCCTGGACACGTTCCTGTGGGACCTGCTCTGGGTGACCCTGCTGTGGCAGGGGGTTGGAGGAGATGATCTCCAGAGGTCCCTTCCAACCCCATGTGGTTCTGTGACCTCATGAAAACACGTACAGTGCAATCGGGAGATGATCTCCAGAGGTCCCTTCCAATCCCATATCATTCTGTGACCTCATGAGAACACATACAGTGCAATTCGGCAGGGGGTTGGAGGAGATGATCTCCAGAGGTCCCTTCCAACCCCATGTGGTTCTGTGACCTCATGAAAACACGTACAGTGCAATCCTGGGGATTTTGAAGGTATTTACAAACCCTGACCTACACAAGGGGGAAACACAGCAAACTCCAAGGAACACAGGAGCAGACTCCAGAGCCACGGGCTGCACAGGGACCGAGCAACCAGCGCTGGAGGCAGCGGCCAGAGCAGCACTGCCAAGGTCACTCACACCCTCTACATGTAACTCCAGGACACTCAGAACCCAGACAATCATTTTTGCTCCCTGTGCAGTCCGTGGTGGATGGCAGGGGGTTGTCTTATGCATAAGTGATACGAGATCCAAACTGACTGAATGGAGACCAAACCAAACAGGATTAACACCTCACAAATAATAAAATGAAATGAGTCACTCCTGTGGGAGTTGGGGAGAGGAGGAAGAGGCAGGACTGAAGGCACACTGTCCATCTTCCTGCTTTTTCTGCTGAATTTGTATTTGTCACTGCTGCAAAACCCCTCTTTATCTACTCAGAAGCAAGGCTGCTGCTGGTCTCCTCTGAACCAGTCCTAAAGCTATACTGGGAGGACAGACAGAAATTATTTGGGTAGAGCTGCTCTCATGGCTACATGGATATCTGTTTAAAATTCTCTCATTCCCATCTATCCTCTTGCTATCCTCTGCTACATGAGGAAAACCACTCATGGCTACATGGATATCTGTTTAAAATTTTCTCATTCCCATCTATCCTCTTGCTCTGCTACATGAGGAAAACCGAACCTTTTAACTTAACAACTCACACATAAGATCACAATTCCTTCTCATAGCTGGGAAAATACATGTGTTCCCTCCAAGACACCTACTTTCTGATTTCAGGTCAGAATTAGATCCAAAACAACACTGCAAACCAGCTTTAACGAGGGACAAGGAAATACCTTTAAACGTATCTAATCTGTATTTAGGACAGATGTTAAAGGAAGCTCTTCCAAACCATGTCTGGGCTGACAAAGACATGAGAAAGAACTTTAGTAATGGGTAAGGCATTTCCAAAAAAAGTCAGGAACCGAATGTGTGTAGATGAACACAAGCAGCAAATATAAAGCTGTGCCTTTTTTAAGCCAGAGTTTTGATACATTCTCCAGAGTCATCTCCGGCTTAAAATGAAGTGAAAGGAAAGGAAATTGCTCCAATTTTCATGCATGCTTTGGAGAAATTCATGCTGACAGTCAGACACCTGAAGACTTTGCTTTAAGGTATTTTATCTCACTTGGGTTTTTCAGAAATAGCCCTGATGGAATTTCCTTTTGATGCTTGAAGCCAATATATTGAGACTCAAAAAATTAAGCTGAGGAAGGCATCCAGAGACCTAGATACTGACCCACCTACAGGCAACTTCACCAGTCCTGAGGGAACGAGGGAAGAGGTGTCACACCTACCTATGGATGAGGTTGGTCAGAGGCTCAATCAGTTTCTTTCCCAGCCTTGGTTCTAATGGAGTAAGAGCACCAAACTATTAAAAAAGAAGTACAGACAAAAAAGTGACTTAATAGCTGCTTTTAGACAGTATAAAAACATGATTTAAATTGCAGCTCATTATATTTGAGCCAAGCCATATTAAAATATTTTTCTCTCTTTGGTTATGTTCACAGACGTTAGGAGATATTCCTGGTTTCTTTTTATTCAGATTTACTGGTAACTCCATACCTCCAAGCAAGAAATCTATTTCACACCCAAGGTAATTTAATGAGAACCCCAATCCTTTAAACATAAGTCCAGAATACTTGCCAGTTTTATAATTTTAATAAGAACCCAATTATTGGTTGACGACGTCATCAACTTGAAAAAGAGTGGAGCAAGGGAAAGGTAGTTTTTGGGATTGCGTCGAGCCAGCTCACAAATGACATTTACTGCAGCAGACTGCACACCTGGGAAAAAGAAGTGGGAAAAGCAGAAATCTCATCAACGCCCTAATTGTAATTGAAGTTTCTAGTGCAGAACCCCCAGAAAAAACCAACAACAAAACAGGTAAAGATTCAGATCTGTGTGGCCAAGGGGAATGGGTTCAGCCTCATTACCAACCGTGGGGTAAACACAAGAATGCAAAAACAAGTTGAGAAAGGATTTTATTTAAATTTTGGCTATTTTCTAATGTATCCATGAGCTGGGTATCTGCTTTGGGTCCAGCATAGGAAAGAACAGGACACTGTCAGCCTCCTTCCCCCTTTGCTTGTTTGTGGAACACAGAGAACATAACAATCAATGATCCCACCCACCATAAAGTTTCCAAGCACTCTCACTTCTTTAAAATGTATGTATTATTTAGACATGCTCAAATACAACAACAACAACAAAAAATGAATCTTTAAACAATCTGACTGGATGTTCACTCCCTTCTAATTGTTCAGCTTCTAGATTGATTGCTCTCAATTTGGAATCTTTTAATCTACATGCTGAGTTTTCTCATAGAGAGCAGTCCTTTTCTCCATAATGCAAAATAGGTATTTTCTTCCCCTGTTTTTGAGCAGGGTGTGTGTTTTGCTTTCTTGGATCCTGAAAGATTGATCTTACACGCCCACAAATTAGTCCAGTATGTGCAATTCAATTTCTTCCTCTAAACACCCACACAAATCAACCAGAGAACACAATTCTTGAAACAAGTGTACGGTGATTTGGTGCAGTGAGGGAAGACCAACACCTTCTGGGGAGGCTGAGAATTGTGAATGTGATACAGAGCAATCACAAATTTCCTGTGCTGCAGCTGAATTGCACTGACACAGTACTGAAGGGCCCAAACAGCAGTCTGGACTCAAAGTTACAATTTAAAAAATAGGAAAAAAAAAAAATCAGTATACTAAGTGATGTGGAATTATTTTCAGTACACCCACTGCTAGCCAACAGCTGCAGCTTTGTTAAAGAGCACAGGAAACAACCACAAAAATCCAAACCCTGAAATAATCCAAAATATTTTCAAATATTCCAATAGTTTCAATGGCTTTTGCTTCAAAGTAAGAATTGGACATTTTTAAAAAAAAAAATGTATTTTTAATATGGCAACATCTGTCAAAACTCTCATATTTTCATCTACCAATCAAACAGGCGAATCAGTACCCAAAAGATGATTAACAGCATTTCTCATGTATTCTTCTCTCCCCAAGCTCTAAAAGCATGGATACCCAGATGTTTTGGAGCAGAAATAATTTACTGAAATCCACTCACCAGGATCTGGATCTTCAAGTTTCTCTTTAAGGCGAGGAAATGCAGGACGGAGGGACTCTGGGTATTTCAAAAAAACTTTGTACATGATTAACACTGCCTTCTTCCTGATGTAAGGCTTTGTGTGAGACATCTGTGAATGAAACAATCCCAATCAGGCTCTTAGCACATCTGGGTCCCCAGTGTTCTCCTCAAGGTCCTTACGTCCATACCAATGTCTCAAGATTTCTCCCAGGGCAACTCAACTACTTCTTGAAAACTCAGTGTAATATATCACCAAAACTAACAGAAATATTCAAGGTAACCCTCTTGAGCTAAGTGTAAAGTCTCCCCAAAACCGCCACAAGAACAAGGCGTTAGTTTTCATGTGCAACAGTTTAAATGTTTTAAATCTACCATATTTGACCAAATTAATGTTCTGCGATTGGAGAGAAAAGTTGTTCCAATCTTATCAACTCACCAGTGTCATGATGTCATTTGCCAAGTCCCTGGCAAGATCTGGAGTAACAAAACAGGACAAGCCAGTCAGTGCAACTCCAGTATCATACTGGTTAGGGCTACTCAGGTCCTAAAAAAGGAAAAACAGGCTCAAAAATTTAAGATCACACAGGACGTTGAATAACAATTTTCTCAGACCATTTTTATTCACTCAATAGCCATGAAGCAGAGCTTCTACTCAGTGGGAATATTTATATCAACTATTTATTAACAGGAACCTCCTCCAACACCTGCTAAAACACAGCTAGCCTGAGGTCTGATAACGGGCATGAGGAAACATAATCAAACAATAGATGGCCGATGGCAACACAAAAGCAATGAGAGATATTGTACCTTGGTGGTATTTTAGGAGTGGCAACTAATTTTTAAAACCTCATGACATGATCACAAACATGTTCAAACTACTAAAAAACTGGTATTAAATACTAACACTGCTAAGTCAAAGCCCAGCTGTCACCAGCTCCACTGGGAAGAGGCACCCTTGTCCAGTGCTTAACAGTGTCCTAGTGCTTAAGCTATTAGAGAAATGAGATTACTTTCCTTCCAAGCTGCTGCCCCCACCGTAATTTTCAGTCCATAAGGACAAAACACAAGCCAGAGTGCAGAATACATTTTATCGGTCAAGATTCTTTGGACTTATTTGTAGTCAGCATCCTACAAACTCTTTCAGTTTTTTCCAAGCTTCATACTCTTAACAATATTAATATTTATATCTGAATATGTTGGATATAGGTTATAAACCCAGACCTCACTGAATACAGAGCAACACAGGATCAATCCTTAGGTTATTAGTTATTAGGAAATAAGAATAGGAAGTGAATGGCACAGAATTAACCCTTCACATTCACAGGGCCACGGGGGCTGCTTTAGGAGACCTCAACACCATCAGGCCCTCAGGGTTCCCAGCCATTTCTTCCTCATTTTAAAACCTTTTGCAGGAAAATTAGACTCTACTTTAAGAATAATGAAATCTACTTCTTAAGGAACAACAAAACTTGGCAATTTGTTCTGGCTTTGAGAACTGACTAGTTGCTAGATCAATGAAACACGAAAAGGCATAAATAAAGATGCTCTTAAGTAAAAACTCAGGCATAAGGAGGAAGGCGTAGCCCAGTAAGCAATTGAAATTAGATGCTCTTAAGTAAAAACTCAGGCATAAGAAGGAAGGCATAGCCCAGTAAGCAATTGAAATTCAGTACAGTAAAGTCTCCACAGTAAAGAAAATGGATGGACATTATTAAAAATATGCACTTGTCAGAGCAGAACAGTTTAAGAGATAAAGGTAAAAGCAGTAAGTCTTCAGGAGAGATACTGGATCACATCCCACTGATCTTTTTTAAGGAAATAAAAAGTTCAGCTACTTAGATGGGAAAAATGGCTCTTAAGTAAAAACTCAGGCATAAGGAGGAAGGCGTAGCCCAGTAAGCAATTGAAATTCAGTAAAGTCTCCACAGTAAAGAAAATGGATGGACATTATTAAAAATATGCACTTGTCAGAGCAGAACAATTTAAGAGATAAAGGCAAAAGCAGTAAGTCTTCAGAAGAGATACTGGATCACATCCCACTGATCTTTTTTAAGGAAATAAAAATTTAGCTACTTAGATGGGAAAAATGTAGGCACATCTTGTACTGGACTAGTCAAGGTTTAAGGCAGTGATACTTTAAAAAACATTGAACTTAAGAGCTTTAAAACTGTATCTGTAGTCTGAAGAATAGGAAAGTAATGCTGCAACCCAGTAACTCTGAAAAAATCAAGTGCTAAAGCTCTATGAAAATGAACATAACACACTTCAGACCATTAATACAGACCACAGCCTCGCAGAGACTCTTCACCATTTTTCACACACAATTAGGCCAAAGTCCAAACCCCTTATTACCAGAAGAAAACGGGCTTTCACAAGTAGGAATTTTGTGGAGCCAGGTGACTGCTCATTTTCCTTCAGAAACAGGGACATTTTTCTTACCCATTACATTCTTATAAGGGCAGGCTAAGAGACCAGTAACATTAACAAAGGTCACTGTTGTCACCTTTCCCTGTGCCAAACAGAGCTGATATGAGACAGCACAAGGGAAGCCCAAGGGCAGATCCTCAGTATTTAATTAATCCTTCAGCTTGTGGAATGAGAGCAGACTCTAAACCAAGTAAGTAGAATTCTACTTAAACACCTTTATATTCCTAAAAGATAAATACTTCGTACAGATTTGAAAATCCAAGTGGGGAGACAGTGTGAGAAAAAAAATTAAGAATTGAAGTAGAAAGTTTACCTTTCGGATCTGATTAGTAGTCAACATAATTACATCAGTCCCTTCGTGAAAGCACTGAGAGGCAGCTAGGTAACCGATGCGCTGGAAAGAGGCAAAGAGGGGAAAAAATTAAGTCATTTTAGACAATGTTTAGATGAACAACAACTGGCAGCTTCATAAGCAATATTAAAAAGATGAACAATTAAGCAGGTGGTTTCCCAACAGAAGAGGCATGACAGGGTCCTCTAGAAAAGGGGGGTTTTATCAGGAAAGAATCTCAGAGAAATAACATCTCTAGAGATAATAGATCTATCTTAAAGATAATAAAACTAGCTTCACCTTCTCTACTTTATTATAACATACAGGTTCAATGACCACAAACATGTAGAAATAAGGTAGGATGGTCAGTAGGAGAAATGGAGCCTATTACATTTATTTTGTCTGTGTTGACACCTGACTTTCAGGTACTAAAGCCTAATTTGGAAACTCTTCTTTACAAAGTAACATTCCACCCCCTTTGGTGAAAATGGTCTGCAACACAAAGCATGAACAAAACCTTTCAAGAAAAATTATCAAGCTATTACAAAACAAAATATGCCTTCTACTAGGAATCCTAGGTGGTCTTCACATAAAAACAGCCATCATATCTTTTATGGAAAAAAAAAAGGATATCTAGGAATCCTAGGTGGTCTTCACATAAAAAACAGCCATGATATCTTTTATGAAAAAAAAAAAAGGATATCTGGAAAAAAAAGCCTATTACTGGCAGGTCAAGAATTATCCATATACTAGAAACAAATACAATCTACTTCCTTTCTGCACTGTGGTGAATGGAGTAAAATCCAGTTGGCAGCCTGTCACGAGCAGTGTCCCCCAAGGCTTGGTATTGGGACATGGTGAATGGAGTAAAATCCAGTTGGCAGCCAGTCACGAGCAGCGTCCCCCAGGGCTCGGTACTGGGACCTGTCCTCTTTAACATCTTTATTCATGATCTGGACAAGAGAACTGAGTGCACTCAAGGGGACTGAGTGCACCCTCAGTAAGTTCACAGACGACACCAATTTGGGTGGGACTGTGGATCTGCTGGAGGGTGGAAAAGCTTTGCAGAGGGATCTGGACAGGCTGGATGGATGGGCCGAGACCAACGGGATGAGGTTCAACAAGGCCAAGTGCCGGGTCCTGCCCTTGGGTCACACCAGCCCCATGGATGCTCCAGGCTGGGGGCAGAGTGGCTGGAGCTGCCTGGCAGAAAAGGACCTGGGGGTGTTGGTGGCCTGTGGGCTGAACAGGAGCCAGCAGTGTGCCCAGGTGGCCAAGAAGGCCAACAGCATCCTGGCCTGTGTCAGGAACAGCGTGGGGAGTAGGACTCGGGAGGGTGATCATCCCCCTGTACTGGGGGCTGGTGAGGCCCCAACTCAAGGGCTGTGTCCAGTTTTGGGCCCCTTCCCACAAAAAAGACATTGAGGGGCTGGAGCGGGTCCAGAGAAGGGACATGGAGCTGGTGAGGGGTCTGGAGCACAAGTCTTGTGAGGAGAGGCTGAGGGAGCTGGGGGTGTTCAGCCTGGAGAAAAGGAGGCTGAGGGGAGACCTTCTCACTCTCTCCAACTCCCTGAAAGGAGGGTGTAGCCAGGGGGGGTCGGTCTCTTCTCCCAAGGAACATGGGATAGGACAAGAAGAAATGGCCTCAAGTTGCACCAGGGGAGGTTCAGATTGGAGATTGGGAACAATTTTTCCACTGAAAGGGTTATGAAGCCTTGGAATGTGCTGCCCAGGGAAGGGGTTGAGGCACCATCCCTGGAGGGATTTAAAAAGCCGGGATGACATAGTGCTTAGAGACATGGGTTAGTGATGGTTTTTATCAGAGTCAGGTTGGTGGTTGGACTGGATGATCTGAAAGGTCCTTTCCAACCTGGACAATTCTATGATTCTATGAAGAAAGCACACTAAAAGGCGATGTACCGATGCACTGAGTAAACACAGCACTGGAGCTGCCTGCCTGGTACAGCTGTAGTAAAGGTCCCTTCCAACCCGGACAATCCTATGATTCTATGAAGAAAGCACTCTAAAAGACAATGTACCGATGCACTGAGTAAACAGAGCACTGAGGCTGCCTGCCTGGTACAGCCGTAGTCACACAGAGAACTCACTTTGAATGTAAACTTGGACGCACTCATGACTTCAATAATGTTGAAAGCAGCCCAGCTGATGTCGTAGCCCAGCATCTGTAACTGTGAGCAGAGAAGCCAAGACGACAAATAAGAGACTCAAGAAAATAGGTCAACATACCTCACAAAATTGAAGCTGTAACAAGAGTCCAAAAATAATGCAGTAAAACATCTCATGTTTACAAATAATGTTACATTCTACACCACTCGCAGTAAGTGAAAAAGTCTTAAAGTTCCACTGGAAACAAGTTTTAAATAGTTTCAATTAATTCCAGGTACTACATGTAAGCATCATTGTGAAGGGTTTTTCCTAGATTTTTTTTTTTTAAATAAAACCCAGAAGAGAACCACAAAAATCATTCTTTAACAGTATTTCCCTCCTCTCCTTCTCAACAAAGGACTGGGCAAAGAGAAACAAACACCAGTTTCAAGGGCTCGCACAACTGCGTGATAAGAAACAATCCAGTGGAAAACAACTTTTTAAAGTTTTAAATCAGATTAGCTTCCTGACCTATCTCAGTAAAATAAAATCGTACCAATACTAGTGCCAGCAGAATGAATATAAGGGGAACATGCAGCCTCTGACGTCAGACGCGGGTGGAAGCGTTTTCACCCGCAGCCTGCGCTTACGAGAGTCTAAGAAAAGCAGGAATTCAGGCTGAAAACCAGCTCCCAGTCAGCAAGAAAGAAATAAAAAAAAATAAAGCTGTGATGATGTGGGATCCCAGCACGACACTTACATATGTAAGTTTGCAGACTGCGTTTGCTTTCACGGCAATGTTGTCCTGCTTCAGCTCCTGCTTGATCTCATCGATGCACTGGGAGATGTATTTCGCCTGAGGAAAACAAACAAATAAAAATTATGCTTATTTACCAGTCTGGAGATTTCCAGCACATTGGGTGGAAATTGAGCATCCAAAGGTCTGAACAGAACCTGGGCTCCACCGTTCCCAGAACATACACTGGTCACCATGCTGGGAAGCCAGAGATCACCCACTCATCACCTCACTAGAGAAAAACCGTGTCAAACACCATTAAAAGCCCACAAATTTAAGATGACTGATGAAAATCCCATTGAGTTACTCCACTTTTGGGCAGGCTGTACAGGGATGGCACTGCAGCACAGTCTCATAGGGGACCGGTGACCCCTGTCACCCCCCCAAGCAAGGACACCCCCTCCCCGAGGGCCATCTCCCCATCTACACATTTTGATGAGCCACAGTTATTTGTTATGAATTTCTCGGTAATTCAGAGAGCCAAACACCACAATGTTTACATTTAAATATTGGTCCTTCATTTCTTTCCAAACAATCACGTCTCTGCCTGTGGGAGGGATGTGGCAAATGCAGGATTTAAAAATATCTGGACAGATTTCCCTTTAGAAGTAGGCTTAGCTCAGTCAGAGATTCTTTCAGTTCACAATTAATTATGATTTAAGTACTGAAGGTATCTGCTACAGAAATCATGAAAATTTAAATGCAGGGAGAAATAATCTCTCTTCATAAAGCCACACACACACCAGGGCATTTCACATTCCATAAAAATACATCAACAGCCAGAGGAACCAGGTCAGAAACAGATTAACCAGTTCCAAAGCAAAATTCTGCCTGAAAACCACTACCTTCCACCAAAAAGATATTTTCAATCTAGAAGTCTATAATACATCAACAGCCAGAGGAACCAGGTCAGAAACAGATTAACCAGTTCCAAAGTGAAAATATCTTTTTGGTGGAAGGTAGTGGTATTCAGGCAGAATTTTAATCTAGAAGTCTACTGGCCTGCCTTTAATTAACATTTCTCCCCTTGACACTAAATTTTGTTTATTATCCCAGCCATTCTTTGGTCTTTTGCAATATCCTAGAGCGTTTCAACACATAAAAGTTTACCTCTGGAAGCAGAGAATGTTATTTTTAATAAATAGCAGGTGATAATAAAAAAATTGTACAAGGTTTGTAGAGCAGAGACCCTGCAATGATCCAGGTGAGGAAAGGCAGCAACTGAATTTTAATGCAGGGACTTCATACCCCAAGGAGCAGTCACGTAGTGACAATTCACACTGTTGTCACTTCGAGTCTGGCAGCACCAGAATTAGAATCCAGCACCGGGACACAAGGTGAACACACACAATTCAGGGGAGCAGCAGCGTCCCTGGTTTCACAGCTTCTGCAGAAGCACAGTGATTTGGTTTTTCTCTCAAACCTTGCAGTTACAGAGGGATAAAAACCAGCTCCTCCCTGGTATGGGTAAGCTGGGGTGGAACCACATTTGTTAATTTTGAAACTTTTAGTGAAAGTCTTTGTCGACCTTGACAGAGCTCCTTGTCCAACAGCCTCCTGAGGTCCCTCAGACACCAGCCCTGCTCCCACGGAACGGAGCTCAGTCAGTCTGACAAGAGGAAGCTGGCAAATTAATTTACTTAAACAAATTTACAATATTCCTAAATGCCTGTATTTGGGGTAGAAATACTGTCCTTGCAATGGGAATTCTCACGTTAAGGGAGGGATTGCTTAACAACAATCAACTCTTTCCTCTACAGAGATACCCATCTGTCCTCCTGGATATGGGCGAGTGGATCATGTGTGCCAAAACTGGAGAGGGTATTGCCCCCAAACCCTTCAAGTGCAGAGTCTGGGTGACTTCTCCCAGGAACTAGAAGATTTGAGATTCTAAACCCATCACCTGAGAGTGGTTCAGGTCCAGACAACTCCCCTGGGAAGTTTAAACTCTTGAGTTTAAACTAAAAAAATAAATAAATTCTGAGAGTAGGAAATACACACTTCATCAGAGATGCTGAAAGAAGGACTTCTACAACATGCAACTGATCTACAAATACATTGTACCCAGCCTTGAATATTTTATGCCCACATAAGAGGATGCTGGAGCAGCGTCACAGAATCCTCCATGTGTATCTCATTGCTGCAGCTTGGGCAGCACCGGCTCCGGGTGCAGGACACCAACACCCAGCTTCTCAGTCTTTATGTCTATAACCAGAAGGCACTATTGTCATTTCCCATAGCACCTATCCCAAAACTATTTAAAAATTAGCCTAAGTTTCCTGGAAATATCTTGGGAGTTGTACGCAAACCACTGTGTGACCAGGAGGGGAAAATAAAAATAAATGAGAGCAGAAAAGTCCAATGACATACAGCCCAGTACAGGTTCCCAAGTCACTGGTCACACTCCATGGCCCCAGCAGCCTGTCTCCCAGCCAAACGTAACCAGTGACTTTTGGAAAAGTCCATTACAGAACTCTGAATCAGGTCTGAAACTAAAAGAAGGGATTTTGAAGAGCAGAAAGAAGTCCTTCCAAAACAGCTGTACTTCAAATCCCAAAAGACTACAAGGAATGAAAGCCCCTATATATAGAAAGCTTTAAGGGATCAGCAGGTATTAACTTTTTGTTAATCCCTGGGGAGTAGCACTGTCATGAACGTGCAATATGAAGAAAACTGATTTATCCAGTCTCCCCCTTTAACTGGCTACTGGAACCCCCTGGCCTCTCCTGCTGGGGCTACTGGAACCCCCCGGCCTCTCCTGCTGGGGCAGAGCTGGTGGCTGCCCCAAAGAGCTCTTCCATGGAGCCACACTAAGCAGTGAATGGGAGAACCATCACTCGATGCAATGAAGAAATAATGGTAGTCACTCAGCATGGCCTAAATATTTGCAGGAAAAAAAATAAAATCTACATACTAAGCCAGGACAAAATCTAGGTACTTTTCCCAGCATTGATTTACTGATAGTTTTTGCATAAATCCTTCTAATATAGCAATTGCCTAGTTTGGTAATTAAAAATAAGTACTTCCCAGGATATAACTAGCTCAGTTCTTCCTTAAATGCTTTTGAGATCCCATAAGGGAAGGAAGCAAAAGGAAAATACTTCAGAGTTCATTTATGCTCACAATATTCATTATATCAATATATTTCTTAACTATTAATTCTGCGGCAGTCTTATTTGAAGTCTTCCCGGGATGCTACTCAATTGCTCCCATATTTTTGGCCAGTCAACTGAGGAGCACTTCTAAAGTCACAATATTTATACAGACCTTTGGATGTTTGCAGCCAGGCTGCTTTGAGGGAGCAAGGCGATTACAAGGCAGCCTTTCAGCCCCGGAGAACAAGTGGAGCCATTAAGGGTGAGAAGCCCCTCGGAAGGAAGGCAACCCCAGCCAAGCTGCTGGGCATACGGTAACCCCAGGAACAGAGCTGAGAGGGGCTATTTGATTCCTGATCAGCTGCCAAGTGGGAAAAGAGCCTTCCCAAGCCCTTAGTGAAATGCTGTAGCAATCTTCCCAAGCCCTTAGTGAAATGCTGTAGCAACCACTCACAGAATTACAAAATGATACGGAGTTGGAAGGGACCTCTGGAGATCATCTCCTCCAACCCCCTGCCAGAGCAGGTCACCCAGAGCAGGTCCCACAGGAACGTGTCCAGGTGGGTTTGAATGTCTCCAGAGAAGGAGACTCCACCACCTCCCTGGGCAGCCTCTGCCAGGGCTCTGCCACCCTCACAGGAAAGAAGTTCCTCCTCATGTTTAGGTGGACCTTCTTATGTTCAACTTTGTGCCTATTTCCTCTTGTCCTGTCCCTGGGCACCACTGAAAAAAGACTGGCCCCATCCTCCTGACACCCATCCCTTAAGTATTTATAAGCATTGATCAGATCCCCCCTCAGCCTTCTCTTCTCCAGACTAAGACCCAAGTCCCTCAGCCTTTCCTCATCAGAGAGATGTTCTAGTCCCCTCCCCATCTCCGTAGCCCTTTGCTGTACAGGTGATTGCTTTCTCCAGAAAGATATGACAGAACCACCTGCAGAGCAGCACAGTTAGAACCCAAGGAAAGCCTGCAGATGTTAACAGAATTACTCCACAAAGCTGTGAATACAGCACAGTCACAACTGCCTTCCCTTAATGTACTCCGCCAAGCCAATGCAGTAAGCATTTTATACCCATTAACAAAATACACAAGCCAATTTTTAAAATCAGCCCAAATTCCTCAAGAATTCCAAGACCTCACCCAGAAAATACATGCATTTAAGCTACTGTGAGCGGTTAAAGTAAGAATGAAGGTGTCACGAATCAAAGAGAGAACCCCTCTGAACCAGAGGGAGGGAAGAAAGAGAAAGTGGGTCATGGTAAGGAGCCAAGATACCAGTTTATAGGATTTCTCACCTCCCAAGCCAGGTTTTTTGAATTAACTTTGAAAAACGTTAAAACTTTATTCCAAACTTGGGGTTTGCTGACAATTTCAGAGAGGTTCACAAAAGACTAGTTTTTTTTTTTTTTCCAAGCAATATGTGAATGAAGCTGAAAAAATCCCTGATCTAACTGAACAACAGTGACGTTCTCAGGAAATGTGACTCTGCTGTTTTTTTTTCCAAGCAATATGTGAATGAAGCTGAAAAAATCCCTGATCTAACTGAACAACAGTGACGTTCTCAGGAAATGTGACTGCAATGCTTTCAGTGACAGATGAGAAGTCCTTAATGATTAGAACAGATATTACTGCAGAACCTTAACATTATATTTAATCCTGAAAGCTATTCATTTCCAATAGCCTTAAAGAAGCCTACTCCTATCTTGACCATGTACCATCTTCTGAAGCCAAGAGAACTCCAACTCTTGCCACTGAGGGTTACGGTCCAACACCAAACACAGAGAATCCTCCACCAAAGTCCTCAGGATCCAGCCTCGGTCACTGGGTCTGCTGTGAGATTCAAACCCATCCCTCACTGCAACAGCTGAATGATTTCCACCCAGATGAAACAGCAAAATGTCAGAGAACATTAGTCATAGAATCATAGAATCATCCAGGTTGGAAGAGATCCTTGGGATCATCGAG